ACTGATGTCCAATTTGGAACCATGGAGTTTTTTCACTGCATTTTATTGGTCATTTATTACGATGACCACCGTAAGTTCTTTGTTTCCCAATTTTTCATCATTGTTTTAAACATATTTTTAATATATTGAAATTTTTTTGACAGTTCCAATGTCATCTTATAAAGCAAGCATTATGCGATAGATGTGGAATTTTTCTTTTTCAGGTTGGTTTTGGTGATTTAATGCCCCGACGAGATGGTTATATGTACCTCATTTTACTTTATATTATTTTAGGTTTGTTTTTAATCCATATAAATACTATGATATTATTAATGAATTGATATGATTAAGAAATTATATAATCACTCTCTCTCTCTCCAATAAGCCTAGTATATTATGATTGTCTCCCGTCAAATTAAAAGAATTAACATTGATATCTGATATCTCATCTAAAATAAGATATTGATTTCAATAATTAGATCATTTTTCGCAGGTTTGGCGATCACAACAATGTGTATTGATTTAGTCGGTGTGCAATATATTCGTAAAATTCACTATTTCGGCAGGAAAATACAGGATGCTCGTTCAGCATTAGCTGTAGTAGGAGGAAAGGTTAGATATTTTCCAAAATTATTAACTATAATTTTAAAAATAGTTATTTCAATTATTAAAATATTAGTAAATTAATTTGATCCAAAAAGAAATTAATTTATGAAATTCTTTTCTCTTCACATTCTGTTAATTTTGATTTGAATTAATTTAGTACAATACGAAATTGAAATTCAATGATTATATTTTCTCAAGAAAATGATATTGATAAAGAAAGATATGAATAATTTATAGCTTCTTTAATATCGAATAGATAGCTTTAAAAGAAATTCCTAAAACTTCTGAATTGTAAAACTTTCTCTTCTTCTGTAAACTAAAATTTTTAGGTGGTGCTTGTATCAGAGTTGTATGCAAATTTGATGCAAAAAAGAGCTAAAAATTATAATCGAAATGCATTTGTAATTGATAATTTTCATATATCAAAACATGTTATTCCGTTTATTCCATCAGATATTCGATGGATTCGGTGAGTGTATCCGTCATTGTTGTAAAATAAATTCTAATTATTCATTTATTTAAAATGAAATATAAGTAAAAATTATTTACCTATAAATACTATGCCATTTGTCAATTCATCAGAATAAAAATTGCTATCTTATAATCTTTAATTAGATTTATTGTTTTGAATGATATATACTTTTTTCTTTTACAGGTATATAGATCAGAATGCAGAATCATTATCATCATCGACATCTTCAACTCTCGATTTGCAATCCTGTCGTTTTTGCCATTCTCGATTTAGCATATCGCGTTATCATCCATGATCTCACCTTATCCCTATATTGTTTTCTTTTTAAATATCCCATCATTTTAAATACTTTCTCGAATTTTTTTCAAGACCAAATTTATATACTTTTTCTTATCAAATCATCCTTATATGTATTATCAATCACTGTTCCAGATAGTATTTAAAGTTAACAAAGAACAGAAATTTATTTTGCAATATTATTAATTTCAAATAGTATATTAAAAATACAACAAATGATAGCTTAGAATATAATTTGCAAAATATTGTTTTATTAACAACTTTATCTTTATCAAATTAGTTTGATAATTATTCAAAAGTTAATTAATAATTAAACACAACAATCTTATTATATATTTAAAAATAGATCAATTAAGTAAAAGTAACTAATTCCTTGTATGTAATTAGTAATAATAATAATATCTGGAGCAGATTTTCAACATATATCGGATCGTCAGTTTTTTTTTCAGGGATTTTTGATTGTTATTTGAAATGGTATATAAAAACAAATGAGTTTTAATTAAATCTAAATTTAATTCGTTTTTTTTTCCTATTTCAATCAGATAACTTAAGATAATAATAATTATAACAATTAATTTGAAGAGGAAAAGAATGTATGAATTTTTCATTGCTGAAAAATGAGTAATATATTTTCTGTGATAAAAATTCTATCGATATTTTTTAAATTTTCGAATACCATAGCTTTAGAGCCTTAGTTGACGGGAATTGCTGTTCACCCATGTGAAATGCTCAATTTTGTCAATTCATTCATTTTTGTAATTAAAATATTCCAAACAAAATTTCAACATACTTTTTTTGCCAAATGTTTCCTTTCGTCAATCACTATTTTCTCCTTCACAAATTGCTAATCAATCATTCAATATAAAAACTTAGTCATTTGATGATAGCGAATAATTTTCTCTTTTCTTGTTATTCGAATATTTCGAATTGCTATCACAAATACGGAAATTTTTTTAATCAATCATATTAGGAAGTGATTTAAATTTAGAGAAATAATAAATGCATATGGATTCAACATTGATTATTATTTTGAGTTAATTAGAAAAATATTATAATTCAACGATGAATTTTTTTAGTTATTGATAAGAAAGATAATCAGAAATGATAAGGAAATTAGAGAGATCATATATGAAATTAAGAATCGAAAATAAAGAATTGATTACAAAAAGTCATTCCATTCCTTATTTTTTGCTAATATATTACTATTTCGAAAAAATAAATAAATAAGGAAACTTCTCTTTTTCAATTATTTAAATTATTCATTTGTTTATATTGCCTTCTAAACTGTTTCTTTTTGTTTCATTACATCACAATCTAATTATATTCTCCTTCTTTTTTTCTCTTCTTCTAAACTGCCTATTTATTTTACTATAATTTCTCTTTTCATTTTTTCTTTATAAATAATTTTCCGCATGAAAATAGCATTAATTTAATTGATAGCGCAATTTATTTTCTCAACTTCAATTAACTACATCATACTTCAAGCGCTAATGGTTAAGTGAAAGAAAAACTGTCTTCAGAATGCACAAAGAAAAATTGTCTTCAGAATGAACAAAGAAAAATTGTCTTCGGAATGAACGAAGGAAAATTGTTTGCAGAATGCACAAAGAAAAATTGTCTTCAGAATGAATGAAGAAAAATGTTTTCAGAATGAACGAAGAAAAATTATTTTCAGAATGAAGGAAGAAAAATGTCTTCAGAATGCACAAAGAAAAATTGTCTTCAGAATAAGCAAAGAAAAATTGCCTTCAGAATGAACGAAGAAAAATTGCCTTCAGAATGAACGAAGAAAAATTGTCTTCAAAATGAACGAAGGAAAATTGTTTTCAGAATGAACGAAGAAAATTTGTCTTCAAAATGAATGAAGATGAACTTGGATTGAGGAAAGATTAAACTTTTTCCTTCAATGCTTACAATCTATCATTATGGCATATCTAAAGAGATAATCGAGAATTCCTGCTGGATGTGCTAGAAAGAATGCCCGACAACCTTTCTCAGCATTTTCCGCTACTATCATCAGCTATTTGAGGCACATCTGATGCTACCATTTTGTTGTTATCAGATTTTTTCCATTCAATTTTGGAAAAATATTATTTCTGCAAGAGATGTTCAAAAAGTTCACATATGGGAATGAAGCAATTTTTATGGGAAAGAACTAAAGTCATAAAAATATAGTTAAAAGAATATCTGGATGATTTTATTTGAAAAAAAATGTTGACATAAAATCGAAATAAAACAAAAGCTTGAAAATTAAATTTTCCCCTAATGCTTATATCATCTAAAAAGAGTTCATTCATCATTAGGAAAAAGAATTGAAGGTATTAATTGATCTTTCTAATTTGTTTTAAGAAATAAAATTTATTTTTCAAAATAATATTTGATATGCTTATGGCATACATAGGTAGAAATTTTAACAAATATATGAATTACGATGATAGAAGATGGAATTAACATTCTTACCCATCAATAATCCCAAAACAATCCTTAACTAAAAATTGTTCTTCCTTATTTCTCCACTCATCGAACAATTCTTAAAACTTCGGCGAAGTTTTTCAAACTTCAAATTCTGAAAATCTTTTAATAAATAAAGTTTTGAAGTGAAAACTCTGAATATAAAGATATGAATCAGAATCCTGCTTAAAACGGTATTTTTATAATAATTCTCAACTTTTCTTTTGCTTCAGCGTAATAAATATAAATAAAACAAAGAGTTCGCGGTTAGTGATCGAATGAAGCAATTGAAAATCTAAGTAATTTAGGATTTTAGTACTTTTTATGATGATGTAAAATAAATATTATAGCCTTTGAAATTATAAATATAACAGACCGTACATAGAAAATGATCCTTCTTTATATGTAAGATGGCAATTATGCTCTCAGCAGTTTGGGTAATCAGATTAGTTTTGACAAGAACAATTCAAACCTCTTGGATTATGACTTTTGAAAACTACAAACACAATGACACAAGATAACTCGCTTTCCCATGAATTTTCGAATGATCATAACAGAAGGTAAAGGATTCTAATAACTAATAAAAAGATTATAATAATGATTTCATTTACCCATTTTGTTGAGAATGTGAAAACTCCTAATAGTTCAAAAGTACGCACCTCTTTAAAGTGTTTTTCTTAAGATATATTAAATCCAAAAATTAAAGAATATTCGTTTTCGTTGTTGTTCATCTTGCTGAATCAGATAAATCAGGAATAATTGCTGGACTTACGCCTTTTTGCTCTTGTTACAAAGCTCACTTCGTTTCTTCTATGATTATTTCTACTCCAATTAACTTTGAGACCGTAATTCATGCGCTAAATATTACAACTACCAGCACTACTACCCTATTTATTACGGCCACTAGTAGAATTATCTAGCCATCAGCAGAATCTTCTAGTCATAACTTTAGTGCTTGCCTATTCGCTTCCTCTATTCTCTATTCCAGATTTTGGATATATTGTCAAGCCATCCAAATGTCTTCGCTACACTATTCACAAAAGCAATACCAGTCTTTCGAAGTTCCAAAACAAGTCTTCAGTCTTTCTTTTTAATCAGTAAGGAGCATCGAATATTTTTGAGTTTGAATTGGCTGGGAACAAAAACGGCGTATTGGCTGTTTTATTTGCAATAAAACTGACAGATGTTTTACTGGCTATGAATGACGTTGTTCATCAAAAATCAAATTATTTACAAATTCTTCAAATGTCTCGACATATGGCCTCAGCGAACAATGTTTAATGTCTGAAAAAAATTTCAGGTTTATTTACGACATACAATTATTTTAATAACTAGAAAAACAAAATGTGCTATACAACACAAGTATATAATACAAGTGTTAATTCATCATTTTTCAGTTCAGCACTATTTAATTCCCCACAAACTAGCGATATAGAGTTGATGCAAAATAAGATGTTTTCTTAATCATTCTTCTAAAACGATCGCCGACGCCATCATGAACCAAATTACTATAAACGAATCGTAACAAAAACTCGAAAATTTTTAATAAAAAATTGGGTAAGAATTTTTAGAATTAGAATTATGAAGTCGAAAAATACCGAAATTCTTCCGGTCTTTCTCTGATTCTCCATTGTAACCAAGTTTTAAAACTTCATGCAATAAAGTGCTGAAACATTTTAGAAATTAGGTCATTCGTTAATGAGCAACAAAATCTGAAAACTTATATACATGTAATCAAGAATAAAAATTAGAAAAAAAGTTACTCTATGCGTGGTAACTTTGCAAGATTTATGTCAGATATTTGATTTGGATTAACAGGAACAGCTATAAGTCCAGTTTTAGGATGCACACAAAAGGGTGCTTTGAGCAAATGGTTTATTCCTGTAGAAACATGAATATCCAAACGAGGATACGTACGCTGCAGCAGATAACCACGGAAATGGAATGATGACTGGGGACTGGCTGCCTATAATCAAATTTTCTTAGCGAACATGTGGTTTACCTTAATTTGGTTTACAAATATGTTTTGTTAATAGAATTTGCATATACTTTTCGTTAGCAATCTGATGAGAAATGATATGTTATCAAGTTGTCATACTATGGTTTCTCGCAAATTCTTGTATAAAACAAAACAGTTTCGTTTTACTATCTGTACTTCGATCAACAAGTGGACAATAAGTAGGGATGACAAGTCATTAAATCTACTATTTGTGCTAAATAAAGTTCCGAACTTAGTCACCTCGCACAATTCAATCCCATTTTTCTTGAGTTCAGCACGTTTATATTTGTCAAATTTTATTCGTAGCGCATTCCATCTTTTCTTCAAACAATCAACACTGAAATAGATTATATATTTGCATATATGTACAATTCATATTTTAATTATTTATTTGTTACAGACATCAAATACACAGAATTCTTTTTATCAGGTGCCCATGGTAAATAATATTATTTTGATTTCGCAGAAAATTATTTTACGTTTTCACTTCATCTATAGTTTCTCTGATTTCTTTTTCAACTTCTTCGTTTATGCAACCGTCCAGTAAAGACATCAATCCATCATCACTCATCCAGCCTTGTTCTAACATTAATTCGCTTACATTTGAGCTAAAATAGTTAAAAATATAAAACACAATCTCAGTTTGATTTAGAAAACTTTGAATTTTTCAAAAACCCTAAGAATTATATTGAAAATGACCTTTGCACCAAGTATCCATATACTTCTTCTATCATAGGATGAACATACGTACGCCTTACTGCTGCTTTCGAAATTTTCTGCCCGCCCTATAATTTACAATATTAGCTAAACCCAAAAAAAAAAATGAGAGCACTTGTTTTGGGGTAATGTGAAAACAGTATTTTGCAAAGGAAACATTTGTCCGATTTGACAAATTTATGCAAGTATTACTTACAGTAACCAGAGACAGATACTCAACAACTGCCGTTCGACCAGCATTCTGAAGCTTCCGTGCAGCAGCATCAGCAACCCAGCAGTGGATACCGCGTCGACCAGAAAATACCCATAAACAGTGCTTGAAACCGAAATGTTCTTAATAAGAATGTTAAGTATGAAAATATATCAAAATATTTAAAAACAAATTTGGAAAATGGCAAAAACTCCTAAAGACATGAAAATGAATATTTAGAGTAGCAAATAAATTTAAGATTCCAAAATTAATACTGACTTTGCAGCAGATGATTTAAAACGCCCACTGCAATGGATATCCACCTCCAGCATTTTCTGCATACCTTTACTTTTCTGAAACTGCCACATTTTGAATAAAGTAGCTGCTTACACATTGAAATTTAACTTTAATAACCTACTCGAAGCAAGTTCTACTTTTTGGTTGCAATTCTTTTGCTGAGTGCCTTATTTATTCTTTCAAACATTAAAAGAAAAAGTACTGGAAAGAATATATCAGTATATGAAGTCTAGTATTTCTTAATACTAAATTCCGTTGTATGATATTTTTCAAGTAAAAGGCTTACGAGCAGCATGTCCGAATGTCATCATAGTCAGTTAAATCAATATCGAAAATGAGTTCGCGTTCAACTGGATGAAAATCAGCAAATTTTTTATGGTCTTTTGGCTAAAATCAAATTGTTATCGGTTGAAGAACTACTGCACATTTTATCATTGGTTAGAATTTGATTGGAAACTGATGGTTTTGATTATCCAAAAGCAACAGACAGCCGAAAACTTTAGTAAGTGATGATTAATTAATATGCATTCCACTTGTAGTTTCAGTGGAACATAATTGCCCTATTTGTCGATGGAAATGCACCAGGAAAACATATCACAAAGTCGAAATAAGTTTTAAAATTTCTCTAAATATTCCTCAGAATCAACAAATCAGAATTTAGAAAAGAATATCAGATTTACTTTATAGTTATAAACTGCACCAATATCGATCTTTTGTGGGTTTACTTTGCACAACTCTCGTTCGAGCTCCGTACTGTTTTCAAAACTACGATACCGCGCATGCCGATCATCTTCAAAAATAAATGCTATCTCTCGCATTTGAAATGAGGTTTGTAAATCTGTAAAAAATCACATGACCAGTGGTTAACATGCATACAATACCATTTCCTTCTCCGTAAACAACCATAGCTTAATTTAGCATAATATAGCTTAATTTAAGCAACAAATGTTTTTCAAGAACAAATTAAAAGAATAAATGAGCAATTTTCTAACCTTTGCCATATGTTAACCATTTGCTGAAATATTCGAATGGAAAAAGTCGTCGGTAATATTCCGGAAGCATTTGTTGAAGTAATGATCCATCAAAATCACTCATATCTTATCCGGTAATCCTGAACTGTTCGTTCAACATTTTAAAGTCAAATAATACAGTAAATGAAGAGAGAATGATAAAGACAATGAAGAGAGAATGATAAAAAGAACGAAGAGATACAGAGAGAAAAAAGATCACACTTCCACCTTGTCCAGTATTGAAATTTTTGAAACGTTTTCAAAATGTTCATTCTCCCGCTCATTTAAAATACACTCTGTGCAAGATTCTCCGATAGTTGTGAAGCACTGTAGACCACATCACCTCAATAGGCCTTCCACAGTACCACTTCGATGGGCCTATACAAGATTAGACTAGCATGTGATGTGCTAAATTTTAGCCGATATGTCATTCTATATGAAATGTTATTAGCTATCTGCGACTTATTTCCGTTCATTGCTTGGGATCAAATCAGATAGTAGTTACCTGCCATAGATAGATCAGAATAATTAACCTATCAGTGAAATATCTAATATCATTTCATATATATTGACATATCGTCTGGAATGTAATCCGATAGCGTGTGAAATCGAAATTACAAATGAAAATGAACTGCAGGAGCAGGGATACTACACATCCATCTATCCATCAGCATGTAATTCACGTAATTGGTGAGGAATCAGATGGTCTCCTTTCTTTATGTCATCAAAGAATCGTTTCATTATTTTCAAATTAATAATTTCATTCATCCGAAATATTTCATTTTGATGATAATTGAATATCTTCGGATAATTCCGTTAAGAAACAACAAAATTTAGTTGTAAAATTAGTATTTATGATTTTTCATAAGGGACGAGCGGTTGCTTAAAGAATTCATGCGGTGATACATATCTGTTATCAGATTTCTTTTCTATCGATCTAAGATGTGAACTTATTTATCACCATTTCTAACTGATTCTTTCGCTATCATTTTCCTTCTCTCTCAACTCCCTCAGAACAAAGAACAACTTCTAGCATCGTAGAATGCCAAGTCTAAAATGAGACGGTGACTTGTGCTTACTTTCCGATAAAATTCAATTTCAGATTTGGCTATTACGTTTTCTTGCAGAATCTTAATTATCTTACGGATTCTGAATCAAATTTCGTTATTTGCGAAATTAATTATAGCTAAAAAAGTACGTATCAACCAATTGGTTGAACATATATTTGTGATTTATTTTAAAAATAAAAAGAAGACATTATGATAGAGTGGCGATAATTATTGCAATATATTTGTTGCGAAATGATAACTATATTTTAGACACTAATAATAAATCAAACAATTAGCAAGTTATTGGATGAGGAAAAATTCGAAGATCAAGTTCATGTTGTGCTTTTCAAATACAACTTCACTTCTAATTCATACTTGCAGAAATGTGGCAAGTGAGATTTTCAGCATTTTTTATGAAGGCATAAATTGTACGATCATATATCTTTTTTTTTTTCATTTCAACTGCTTCAGCAGCTAACCTTAATAAGGTTAGCAAGGCCTAGCAAGGTCCTTGATGTCATTTGTGTATCAATTGAATGAAATGAAAAATTTTAAGGCCTTCAATGTATATTCGTGATCGATTCCGAAAGAAAATGGTTACAGTTGAGCTATCACAAAACCAATGCATTATCAGAACTCTTTATCACTGTTCATTTTCTTATTTCTTATAACAAATAAATAAGAAATCATTCGAAAAGAAAGATCAGTAATAAATGGAATGATGAAAAAGCAGTGGAAACAAAGATCCAGTTTTTACGACATTTGTCTATTTCTATTTTGATACATTAAGATGTTTAATTTTATAGGTTTGATCTATAGGATTAATCCATCGTGCACATTTAAACAAATCATATTTGTGCTAAGAAGAAATGATATTAAAATGCAACTCAACTGTCAATTAAATATTTTAGTTACCCAATACGCTAAATTAGGTTATTTTCTTATTGCAATTAGCGACAATACTACTTGAAATCTTATTGACAATTTAAACTACTGAATTAATAGAAGAAGTAATATTTATTCAATTTATTTATATGAGTTTTAGTAATTTATACGTTCTTCAACTCATTAGTGCGGCTTTTGTTATCCTTGTATTTTGAGCCAAATAAATGTAGGAATGATAGGAATGATAGGAATGATAGAAATAATGAAATGAAACAGGTGTAATAATCATTTATAGAATACAACAACATAACAGCTTTGGAAGTATTTGATGAAAATCGATGCAAAAATGGTGTTGATTTTATTCAGACAATGTACAACATAGTATCAGGTAATTTTAATTCATATTTTAGCTGCAGGTATGTTAAGTAATTTAATTATTAATTAGTCAAAGCAATATTTGTTTGATTTTTGCAGGAAATGAAACTGTAATTTGGAAAGGTGGAAGTAAAAATGTTGCAAATCTATTTTTCGAAGAAGAAAGCAATGATAGTTTTATTAGAGCAACGAAAGAAGTGAAGGAAAAAGGTCAATGAATTTTCCATTTTATGAATTTGTTTTATCCTTTGTAAAATTTAGAAAGGCTTTTTTCAGGCTTCCATCGTGATTTACGTTATTATTTGAAATGGGTCAGTCGTTGGTTGTTTAATTCTTGTAAAGTTATTACTTTTATTTCTCATCTGAGAAATGAGTTTCCGGAATTCGAGAAAACTGCTGAGAGAGATAACTTCCAGTTTTTTTTTGGATTTGTAGGCAAAATCTGTAGGCTTAAAATTAGGCTTAAAATTTATCAATTTTTACACAAAGTATTTTTACTTATAAATTTGGTAGTTGAATAGTATATATGTGAATTTATAGCAAAAATAGCGCTCAATAATCATCTTTTATTTTACCTTGCTGATAAATTTGATTTTGATTATGTAATTTCAGGTATATCTTTATTTGGGAGCCCTAACAATTATTATATCCATAGCTACAATATCAGTGCTAATTGCAGAATTTCATTTCCAGCGTCAATATTATCTAGCCAAGAATAAACCCATTAAATTGCTTATCAACAAAGAACTTCTAAATGAAGTTCAATTAGCAAAGCGTGCTTTACATCCCATTGGTAATAAATATGTTTTATCATATTGATCATAAAAAAGTAACAAAGAGTAAAATTTATTCTTTCTATTCAATTCTATAAGTTGTAAATTATTTAATATGATTAATTGTGCCATTGAGGATCTAATTAGAATAGTTAGCTGAATAACTAGCTATTCCTAGAATATGCTAATTTCGTGATTGGGGAAAATCCTTCCCTATGAAATAGTTTTTAACATAGATTTTCTTTAAAATAATTATGCAATCAACTCTGAAACTACGAATTTCCCATTTTAAAAAGCATTTTAAAATTGAATATATATTTTTCTTTAAACAAAAAATCATTATATCGTTTCGTAATAGTTAATTAGAAATCTGAATATTATAACTTTTGGAAATTAAGATTTTTATGTAATTGCACATTCTTAACTGTTTTCACTTCATTATTGCTCCTTTTGTAGATAGCTAATTGTTTAGGAAAAATTAAGTAATGAGATAGTATACTTATCTCTTCGATACCTTATTTTTACATCATATTCAAAGTAATTTACTTCTTTTAGCACTCTTACTCTTCGAACAGTAATCAATAAGTTTACTACTTATCATCAAGAAATATCTCCATAGCTGATCAAAGCTATATTTAGGTTATTTCAGCAATATAGCATCTGTTAATGACTAATAGAAAAGATATAATTTTCAGTTCCAAGAACGTAAACGTTGCTGTAATATCTGATTCAGAAGAAATCGAAATAAAATTATTCAAAAATTTTAAATATTTACTGCTGAATTTTTCATCAAACAAAAGAATAAAGCTTTATTTGAATGTTTACAAATATCATAATATTTCAATATGATGAAGAAAATTCCAAACTTGCGTTGAAATATGAACGTGATAGTGCTCGTAAAGCGTATCGCATAGTTTGTACATTTGAAGAAGTTTACCAAATATAAATGATAGGAAAATTATTAAAACGAATATGTACAGTCAATGGCTTCATTTAGAAATTTGAAATAGCAACGCTTTCTGAAACATTTATTCTGTTGGCCGTGAATTATTTCTTCCCATTAAAGGTACCAATTCCTGATCCAGATCCAGTCGTAGGTGTGCAACAGCAGCAAAACTGATCATTAAATAATCCCATTGATCCCGGTTTTTGTCCAGGTATACAGTCTGCAAGTATAACAGTGATAGAATTAAAAATAGACAATTTTTGTAAACAATTTCAAAAATAAACATACTTGTTTGCCCATATAGCTGTGAATTTTGCTGCACATTTTGCGGTGAACAGATCATACATGGCGTACAGGGAGATGTATTGCTGTTGAATGGTAATTGCATTATTTGTAAACCACTGGTACTTGGCAAGGGACCGTAACCTTGCATGCTATTGAAAGGACTGTAACCTTGCATGCTATTGAAAGGACTGTAACCTTGCATGGCATTGAAACCTTGGAAACCACTAAAACCTTGCAAGCTACCGAGATTTTGTAAAATACGAAGACACGACGCACAGGGAGACATAATGCCACCTAGCTGTTGATTAGTTCCAAATAAACTAAGACATGATGCACAGGGAAACATATTGCCACCTAGCTGTTGATTAGTTCCAAATATACTATTTTCAAACGATAAACCATGAGCACCTCCAGCCCAATATGGAATTTGTCCTGACGAAGCAATCATTGCTGAAATCGTTGAAGGCAACAACAAGCAAATAAATCGTGCCATACTTCTGAAATCATCTTCAGAAAATAACTTACGATAAATTTACTATCAAAATTTAAATAATTTGTATATTTTTGTTTCGTTTTATTTAATGGATGGAGGGAGGGGAGGAAGAAGTTTCTGTTTATTTTATTTGATCTGTTATTTTTAGAACTGATAAGTATTCTTTCAAATCGAGAAAGTTGAATCTTTCAAAGTTGAGAAAGTTGAATCTTTCAAATCGAGAAAGTTGAATCTTTCAAAGTTGAGAAAGTTGAATCTTTCAAATCGAGAAAGTTGAATCTTTCAAAGTTGAATCGTTAAATTTTCCACAGAATCTTTTTTTTAGTTTTGAATCTTCTCTCTCGTCATATTAGAATAAAATATTCTTTTAAATTAAATTATTAATAAATTGTAACTAATAATATAGATTTAAAATGTTCAAAATTATTTACTAATTAATCAAACCTAAGTTTGAAGTTAATTAATTAAACTTTTAATTACTTAAAATAGATGATATAAGTGAATGAATGGAATAACTAATAGAATCGAAAGAAAAAATTAGTAAATATGGAAGAAAATTTATCGAAATGAGAATTATATGTTGTGGAATTAGATAGCAATAGGTTTTGTTTACTGAAGCGATTGTTGTTGTGATTATAAAATTTTTACCAATGCTACAATTAGTACTTCGTCCAGTTATAATATATGTATATATATATATCCATTAAATAAACAACTGAAAAATAGTCTATCTAAAGCTAATTCATAAACCTTAACTTTCATCAAAATATATTTCTTGAAAAACTTGCTTTAGAAATTCTTACAAACTGTCACCCTCTCTGTCATCCATCTTTCTCATACCAAAATTTTAATCTCTGATGACGAAACATTCCAGTACGATGATATACTTTTGATTAAGTTGACATTTGTATTTGAATGTACTTCAAGTTGGAAAATATCCTTCAACTAGTTTGCTATGATTTATTGGAAGATATTTTTTTGTTTACAACAATAATGATTTGCTTACTTTTCTTTTACAGTAATTATTTTTGGACAAATTTCGGGATGATAGAAGAATTTTAGGGATAAAATATACATTATTGAATGTATATCATAAATGGAAGAAAGTGAAGAAAATTAGAAATTTAATAGTAAAACAAAAGAACAAATAAATAAGTAAATGAATGAATAAATAAATAAGCAAATAAACAAATAAACAAATAAACAAATAAATAAATAAATAAATAAATAATTAATTAAACAAATAAATAAATGAATAAACAAATAAGTGTACAAAAAAAGAGAATAAATAAATATAAATTCAAATTAATAATAATTAAAGATTTGACGAATGAAACAAACTTTTGTATAAATTTTAAAAGGAAAGAGTAATTTATAAAAATCAAATTTCAATTTGAAAAAAATTTTGATAGCAAAGAAAAGATCACAATAAATTTCGCAAGGAATGTTTATATTTATTTCATTAATATCGTAGTTCAAAAATTTTATAAAATATAATTTTAATTATTATTGTTTTGAAAAAAAACGTACGTATGACGTACGTATGCTAGGCTTGCGCTTGGTTTTATATCTTACTGATCTCTAATTTAATCATTAATTAATTACGTACGTATGACGTAAAACGTAGAGACGATATTTAATTATTATTTCCATGCGTATCATTTGATCGCTAGAATGATGTTCTAATCGAACAATTAATTCGGTTTGGATATTTAAGTGAGAGAGGCTGGAAATATATGACAAGGCGTTTTGCTAGTCTTGCTAGGCTTGCTAGGCTCTATATCTTACTGATCTCTAATTCAATCATTAATATTGCGATATTTCTACTTCAAATTCTCTCCAATTTCTCATTCAACTTCTTTTCCAAATGAAACATCAAATTGCTTATTACCAGTGTTTTTCACCGAGTTTTTCCATCCAATTATTGTTTCTATCACTTTGTTACCTTTTTTCTTGATATCGCAAAAAATTAATTTTTATATAAATATCTTAAAGTTTATCAAACGATCCGATCCATTTAATCAATCAAGAAAAAAATTTGACGCTATTGTCTTAGCGGATAAGTATTGCATTCCTTTGGCGCTATTATTATTTATAGCATAGCTGATGAGTAAATATTGCATTCCTTTGGCGCTATTGTCATTTTATAGCATAGCTATGATGTGTAAGTATTGCATTCCTTCATCACAGCTTTTTGGCTATTTTTTAGATATGTTATGAAGAGAGAGAGAAAGAGAGAGAGGGAAAAGAATGGAACATCGATTAACTATTTGTCATCTAATCTAACCATCTTTGGGCATCTTCAGCCTTAGCACATATACTTTGCTTACAAAGCTAAAATTTCAAATCATACTACTAAGCAGAAACATTGTGGTATAAGCATCTCTGCTGTTAATCTATTCAAACTAAGCTATCCCATTTACGACAATTCTACCACTTAATTCATACCAAAAGAGTGGGAAGCGCTTTAATGACCTCTGTCCTATGCAAAACTTGAAAGAATTCAAATTCTCGAGTCCAGCGATTCAGATGATGTTGCAGATATATATATGTGTGTGTGTGTGGATGGACGAGTATATGCGTATGTGTACATGTGTCTGTCTGTTGACAAGAACCGTTGCATTGTTAGATTCCAGTGATGTTATTTATCATATTATTATTGGCCATAGTGTATTTGAGAGGTACCATTTTCTTATGCTTGAAAGAAAGAGCAAAGCCTTAAGGAGATCTTGCAAATCAAAATTTTGCTGCCTTATCTCTTCATTTGCTTATATCCCATTAGGTCCAAACATACTAGCTGTCCCATCTTTAAGCGCTTTGGCCATTATCATTGACCAATTTCTTCTGGACCAATAAATCATAAAGCTTCTTACATTTTCAGTTCGATTGAGTAGTTAAACTAAATGTGGTAGGAAATTTGAAGATTTTATTCAGTCCTAATATCAAATGGTACGAAGAAATCATCGAAGACCAAAGGTTACTCGAGTGATTAACCTTATCAAACGTATCATCGCATTCTTCTTTTCTCATATTGGATTATGCGCATTGGTTAGTATCTAAGTATTCGGCTATATATTTTCATATTTTTCAAAAAACAAAAAAAAAGACGAACCTCATATATGAATGAATTTGATAAAGTAATTTAAAGGCCAAGATTGCATAAGGCTCATTTAGGGCATAAATTTTCATCAATGGCGGCGGACTATTACCAAGTCTACATATAATCGTATTCATTGATAAGATTATAGTTATGCTAAAAGATAATTTAGGTGATTGGATATGCATTGCTTGGTGCGATTGTGTTTCGAGCAGTAGAAGGACCACATGAAACATTCATACAAAGCCAAGTAACAACAGCAAGGCAAAAAGCTGTCAATGTTGCCTGGAATGCTACCTTTAGGTACTATTTTTTTAATTTCATTTTATCTTATCCTATCCTATCAGGATATAATAATTTGTTATATTTGAGCGACGGAAGTATCTTACAGATACCGACCGATGCGGAAGTATCTTACAGATACCGACCCGATAGTTTTGATCAAAAGAATTGACAATTGAATGATCTGATCTAACAGCACTGATTCACACTGATTCATCGATTTCTATGGATTTTTCGTGATCACTACATCAAACAAAACATTGCAATCTTTTCTATGATAAACATTCGGAATACATTTCACGGAAATAACAACTTAGGGTTAACAAATTGGATCGTGCGCAATGGGAACGTGCAGTTCATGAAGAAGTACGTCGATTTCAGCGTAAGTGTATGTGGGCAATCAAACGTGGATATGATGGAAGAGTTAGTGGAAATTTCATTGCTAAATTTTGTTTAAATAGTATCATCTTTTTTAAGACTAATTAATTGGCCTGAACCTAAATTTTGGCAAATTTTTATGAATTAAATAAGATAGATTTGTAATTGACGATAGATTTATAATTGGACTTATTGCTAAAATAAGATAGATTTATAATTGGGCTTATTGCTATTCAAAATTTAATAGTAATTTCTGCACTAGCAAATTTAATCAGAAATATCAATTAATTCAAATGGCATCTAATTTATGAGATTAAGATTGATTTTTCTAAATCAAAATGATAACGTGATAAATGATCAAATGAGCAAGATTATATCATTTTAAGGTGGAAGAATATCTCATCGTTTAATTTTATTTTCAGAGAAATACTTATACATACATCAAGCTAAGTTTGAAATATTAGAAATCAATAATTTTAAACTAATGAATTGAAAGTATTTCAGGAATACGGTTTATCGGCGCAATGGACATTTACCGGAGCCTTTCTTTATTCATTAACAGTGATAACAACTATAGGATATGGTAATACATGTACTAAAACATATTTCGGCAAAACATTAACTATTTTATTCGCAATTATTGGTATGTTATCACTTATCTTCCCTCTCTCCCTCTCTCTCTCTCATTTGCTCTCCTAATTTTCATTAAAATCTTTCATTGAATTCTCTTCAGGCATACCTCTAATGTTACTTTTTCTAACGAATATGGGCGATGTTCTGGCAAATATTTTTCGATTTTTCTATGCGCGTTCAATACGATTCAAATATCGCCTCATTTTATGGCATAAACGGCGTAAAGTTGCAGAATTACGTCGCGCTAACTCTCTTGCTTCCCGATTAGCACGAGTAAATTAATTTAAAACCTGAAATAAGAAATTCTAAAAGGTTGAATAATTTTTGCACAATCAATAAATCCATAAGCATTAAACGTTTACTTGCTAATGTTGCAGGATGTAAATACAGACTTATCACGTGATTCATTCCCACTTAGCACTGATGTACAAGATTTGATAGCAGCTCGTGCACAGATTGAACAACTTGAAGTAACATTACTTGTTATTTTTCCCTTACCGGTTATATATTTCAACTTACAAGTAGTACTGAAAAGAAAACTGTAAGGTCAAGCGATGTTATTTGTAATTTCAGAATTGAATTGAAAACTGAATGCTTTCATTTTAGAAATGATAAATTGCGTATGTTATTTTAGGAGTATGTTTGGTTAACTCAAATAATACATAAATACTTGAAAATTTGAAAATTTTTGGAGAATGTGAAATTATCATTAATTAATTGAGAGATAAAGGATAAGTTAAGGTGAAAGAGAGTGTGGAAGCGCAACTGCAACGTATATCAGTACCACTAAGTCTGGTATTCTTTACAATGTTTGCTTATCTGATAGCCGGTTCGGTGTTGTTCTGTTTGTGGGAAGGATGGACATTTCTCGACAGCTTCTACTTTTGTTATATTTCTTTAACTACCATTGGTTCTTTGTTATTTTTTTCAACAAATTTTTTTAGCTGTTGAAATTTGTTCTAGAATTTTTTAATGTTTATTAAAAAACTTCAACTCTTTAAAAATTTTTGATTTTGAATTTTTTGGAAAATATAAACTTTTTGAAGTTTGCTTAGAAATTATGAAATGATGCAGAATTTTCTCTATCATTTATCTCATGCGTTGACTTTTCGTAGGATTTGGTGACAAATTTCCTGGCGCATCAGTGGGAAATGATAAGGATGCACAGATGAAACTTGTGATAACTTCAATTTATCTTCTATTTGGGATGGCATTACTAGCGATGTGCTTTAATCTTGCACAAGAAGAAGTCATTTTAATTTTAAAATATATAGTTAATTTTAGGAAAGTTAGATAAAGTGGGAAATTAAAAATAATAAGTGATAAGTTAGCGATACTACAAGCTCAACTAGCAATTCAATGTTGAATTTCAGGTTGTGAATAAAGTTAGTTGGTTGGCTAACAAATTTAAATCACGAGATGACGAGGATTATGTCTAGGCTATACTTCAAGTGATTATAATTTTTTTGGATGGATCGTGCAAAATGCTTCAATCGCATTGAAAGTTTACACATTAGTTTTGTGTTCAAAGATCGATGAAGTCTTTGCATATGTTATCAAAGTTTAAAAAAAGCCATGTTAAGCCTAAGCCTTATTTTTGAGGTCTACTTTTCCACTTCATTTATAGATGTGTTTATAATAATAAAAATAAAATAAACATATGCGTATTTTTTCTACACTACTTATGATTTTTATTGTTTGGAATCGAACACCCTAAAATAAGATTTTGAAATTCTTAGAATTAAATAGAGAATATTATCAATATCAACTTAATACAACAGGTTGCACATACAACTCAAAATTATGCTTTTCTCACAATATTCTCATTATTGATGTCAAAAATTTGTCAGGCTAAAATTCATCACATTGCTCGAGAATGAATTTTATGTTGCAAACCAAAACTGAAATTCATATTTAAAATCTAATATCTTCTGTTAGCCTTCATTAGATAATCTTTTTATTTTGTTTAGCTTACAATCTTCTCATTTCGAATTTACCATTTCTTATCACTACAAGGCATTTTTTTCGATCACTTATACATTTTGCTTTTTGATATTATTTCTACAAAAAATAATTTTCGATCCGTTCCGGAAATTTTTGCAAATCTATTCTATCCTATTAATTTTAAGGCATAAAATTAGCAAGTTACATTTTTATTTGATTTTAAACTTCTATTCAATATTGCCTAAGTTGCAAAGAATCGTTTATGAAGTGAAAAATTTTTATCGAATATTTAAAAATTACAAATAATCTTGAAAATGAGCCGATCTTCGAGATCACTACCAAGATATCAAGGAGATTGCAGTACTCCCGCATTATCGTGATATCCGTATGTATCCATTTTATGCATATTAGCTTTTGATTAGGTAAGTGCCTCTTCCTTAAGATAACAATTGTCCAATTATTCAGCATAACATGCAATTAATAAGCCTATGTTGTTGTAAGCATGAATGGAAAATGGCATTATAAAACATTTCAACTATCTTCACTGATACGTTTTTGGTTAGGCTATTCAATATGAGAATTAAATTATAACGAACCATCGAGTCTTCCCAATCAAATTTTATCGTAATACTGGCACGTTTACGAGTTGCTGCTCGTTTCAACATTGTTGCAATGTACTCATAATCCGGTGTATTTTGAAAATCTAATTCGTTAATATATTTCAAAATTTGATGTATTTCTTCCGGTAAGCTAGCTATATGTTTCGTATCTAAAAATTAAAACTTTTTAATTAACATTTAATTAAATTGAAAATTATCATTCAGCATTTTCTTCGTTACAAAAATTGAAAGCTTATATTTTAGTGACTCATCAATAACTAATGATTTGTTGAATTTATAAAACTTTTAAATTTGAAAATTTATTATATTCACATAAAACAAACAAACAAACATGTGCCAGCAAAGAGTCGTTCCTTTTCCCTACAAACAATATCACGATCAATAATTCTTGACCATGGCAATGATGCATATTTTGTAAATTCGATTAACATATATATCCAGGATTCAAGATCATCTCGTCGGCATTGTTCACGTGAATGATGACAATTTCGTGATGCAAATCGTACTGTACCAAGGAAGCGTACACTTTTTCGCGGTAATCTCAAAAGATTAGCTTATCATTCATTCTGAATTATTTTTTTACACTTATCAAAAATAATATTTTAAAATATAAATAATAAGCCTGAATGGAATCTTTCAACTATTAAACTATTAGATTTTAACTATTTGAAAAGTGATTGATAAATACAGAAGGAAAGTAATCGAAATGATACTTTCACATAACAATATAATTAGTCAATTTTCCATCAATCTCAATTTACACTAAGATTATTTTATTAATGAATGATTAAAGTTACGAGTACGATGATATACAATGATAAGTTGTGCTTTAATTCTCTTATAAAGTTTTTGTATAATTTAAATATTGCGAAGTTTCGTTTTGTTTGTTATTAATGACTGCTATGCTTTTTTCACCTGTTAAGGTTAATATCAGAGTTTATTGTACTTCTATTTGATGTTATTCATTCTTTTCCTATTCTTATTCCTAAATATCTTCTTAAGATGGGTGCGTTAAATGGTTTATTAATTAATGTTACCTGTAATTTTTCTTGCAATTGTCCAGGCCTATATTTATGGCCAGTATTATGAGATTTGAGATGCTATAGTAGCATTGAATTAAATCAAACCTCATCACTTTGCTATCTTTTTCAATATATCGCCGTGCAATACCAAAATCAAGCATATAAATAACATTTGCTTTTTCTTTTAAACCAATAGAAAAATTCTGTGGTTTAATATCTCGATGAAGATAGCCAAGATCATGCAAATCTGCTATTCCTTCCAAAGTTTGAAGACTTATTTTTATGGTAGTGGAAAGTCTAAATGATATTAAATAGTAGCTATTTAGAAGATCAGATAATTCTATCAATTATATTTATACTAAATACATAATTCTGAGATTGATTAGAAAGAAACGAGAAGTAAGCAGGGTTTTGAAGAGGATGAAAGAATTTAAGGGAAATGGTGATAATAGTGATAATGAAAAATTATACATAAATTTCTGATAGGTTATATAATTAAGATGCTTCGATGAATTCAAAACTGTTTAAGAATTAGATTGAATTGTTTTTAATTTCATCATAATTGTCAAATCGTAGTCAGCATCATTTATCACATGTCGTAGAAGAAGAAGATGGCGATAACAAACGTGAACTGTTTTTTAGGTTGTTGTTTTTGAAGTTTATCAATACCGGTACCAACCAAATGCATCACAATGAATTTAAATGATTCCGTTCGTCCTAATTAAAAACAAAGAATACATTTGATTTAATAAAGAATACGAATTTAAGTAGGAAATTACAACAATATTTTCACTATCAAATGATTATTTATTATCAATATACTATAAGATATTTCCTCCTAACGTATATTTAGAGCGCAATTGTCCCAACTCATTCCCCAATATTAATAAAACAATTCTTTACATTTATTTACTTACTACATAATTCATATCCAAATATTTTTAAATGATTCAGTTTTATGATAGCAATAATCATTATCCGATAATATATCTCACCTTTATCAATCATTTTAACAAAATGTTTCCGTTTTTCTTCCGGTAAACTTTCACATTCTTGCAAAATAGTCATTTCCATCTATTTGTAAAAAAAGCACAGAAATATTTCAAATCCTTCATTACTCAATTTAGATTATTTTTTTGAGAGAGAGAGAGAGAGAGAGAAGAGAGAGAATTTTACTAAAGCATAATAATTTCGATTGATTGAATTTTAGCAAAATGATAATTTAGTTAGTTAGATTTTAGCGAATAGTAATAAATGCGTTAGGAAGTGGATAAGATGAAATAAGTTGACAGAAATTGAAATTACTACGAAACAACAATCTTTTATAAGATTATGCAAATTTAGTAATTAACAAGATACATTAATTATCACAAATACTTTACTCTTTCGAGAAGAGTTAAAAAATTTACTTTTAATCGATTGAGTGTTTTTTTCGGTGTATTCGTTTCAGTTTTCAATGCAAATACATCATTACTATTAATTTGTCGTACTTTATAAACTTCACCAAAACCACCAGTACCCAATAATTCAATAATTTCATATCTAAAAATAAAACTTAACAAAGTAATCATTTCTTTGAAAATTATTATTACAATTTGTTACATTATTACAATTATTACAATTTGCTTCTTAATTTTCTTTTGTTTTAAAAATATGCTTCCTTTTTGATACTACGATACGATATTATACTTTACGATACTTTTGATACTATACGATATTTACTAGAAAATATAGTTCCTTGATATCACTTCGTCAATCAATTATTGATTCATTTAAATTTTAAAAAAATTTACTTCACAATTCTAAATCTCTAAATGATATTGAAAATACTAGAAATGTGGCGTAGATTATATCTGTTACTTATGGAATTAAAAAATACTAAACAAACATTTGAGGAAAATAGATGGAATTCTTAAAATTGATAAAAAGAAATTTCTACAGAAATTCTATATGATGTTTTTGGGAAAATGAATTATCATATCAATAACATATTATATAAAAATGGAATAGAATAGAAGAAAGTCATATGATTGGAGAATTATTGTTTATTACTTTATTCATTTAATTAGATAAGATAAAGAAGACCTGTTACTATCAGTATTGATAATGACACCACTTGATAGCATTAATCGTTTTGGGGATGATTTTCGTTGTTTTTCTTTCTCTTTTTCTTTTTTCCGTTTTTCCTTCAAATTTCCTTTCAACAATAAACAACAAATGAAAAGATAAGAATCGTAATGAGAATGCTTTAAATAGGTTATGTTGCTCGTATGATATCTTACAATTTATTTCTTATCATTAAATAAAGCATACAAAGATATTTTCGATAGGCATTTTAAGTAATTAAATTAAATTTAAGTAATTTAAAAAGAAAGCTAAAACTTGAAGCATATATGATAGATGATTACTTTGATATACTTACAAACATCTTTTTATGATGTAGTCGTTCCTCACCAGATTGTTCCTCCAGTTCTTCATGATATTTCTCATCTTCTTCATCCATATTTACATCATCCCAATCTCCTAAATCTAACTTTTCCTTTTCTTTTTCCAATTTAATAATTTCTACTTCTAGAAGTTGAAAGAAGATGAAATTTGATGATTCCGTTTCCTTATTTAGAATAAATTAAGAGTGAAATTAGAGATAAAATAATGGGATGGAATAGTGAAATTAATAAATACAAACCAAACTTCTTTCGCTTTTTAGACATTTTTTTATCATAGAATATCTAAATCACTTCTTCTCCTGTATAGTTTTGGAACAGTTTTATATTACAACAGATTGCATACCACCCTTAACCAAATCACACCAACAGTTGTCTCCAACAAGTTTAAGAAATGATAAAATAATTAATTCGTTAATCTATTTATACCATAAATTAAACGAAGACAATCCATGATCTCTGAAACATCATTAAAACGAAGATTTATTTATATCATTTACATTCTGTTGCGTAATTTCTGCATCCGAAAAATTGTCGCGAATCTATGAAGACTTAATCAGCAATCCGGAATATTATCATACTCTTTATTATGATTAAATGGAATGTTAATAGTGATTGTCTTTATTTCCTTGTTAAGTTAAACATGTTTCAGATGTTGCTTAGCATTTCTTGCCTAACATATCTCTGAAATTTATCAAATCTCTACATTCGATATTGCCGTCTGTACAAGACATAAACGTGACCTACAGGAGGCTTGAATTGTCATAATGCCATAATTGAGCACCATTGTGAATACCATCGCGTTCATGGAACCAAATCAAATTAGCCGTTCAAATTAATATGAACATACGGTATTTATTGCTAAGCTATCCAAATATTTTTTATATCGCTTCATTAGTTGAGATCAAACAATCAGATTACTTTACTCATGATTTCCACCTATCAAATGAAAGAATTCCAAAAATCAAAACTGTTGGATACTATTTTCTTTGCTTAACAAATTCCCCCAGATATCCCAACAGCTTCTAAGTAGCGTGGAATCACTAATAAAAATATTTTTAAAAGAATTGTAAAAACCAAAAAGTACAATAAGATAGTCGGTCACTAAATTATATCGAAAATACTGAAAATCTAACTAATAATGTAGAAATAATGGTCTAATGTCTCAAATAGATAATTTTTTTGCAAGAAAGTCCTGTGCAGCAGTGTTCGGGTATAGCTCCGCCACTACAGTCAACTTGCATTAATAAACTATCATGGTCTTACTGTATTGAATCAAACAAAGCAAAGTTAATTTTTGATTATTAGTATGACAGCAACAAATAGATTTATGCAAAGGAAAATTATTCATTTTGAATTCTCTCCTATTTACACAATCATTTCAAGTTGCTTCGCGTAGAATATTGTTTGTTTCGCGATCCTCTTCGTATCCAGCTGCTCTTTTTGAATCGGCTGAAATCATTTATTTAGAAATTATTTACAACGTTTGATCGTGATCAGCTACTGTTATAGACAATTAATTTATTAGGTCTGTAGTATAAATTCATTCTGATAAACTTATAATTTTCATTTATTTCAAAGTAGAATGAGAACTCACGCCAGACAATCCTTGTTCGAAAATATAAGTATTGCCTGAACTCTTCCAGGAGCGCTGAAACAGTTACTTTATAAAATATTAACTTTCAGATTTCGAAAATTTTTAAGAACATTTCGAAACAAAATCTTTTAAATGAATTTCGTTTATTGCATTTTTATCTTCTGGCTCCTTCAGTGTGTTTTATTATTTCTGAGTAGTTTGTCTTTCTTTTTTTCCAGCAACATTCTTTCATCCGATTCAGATGACGATACAACTGCATTTGGATACAACAATACGAAAAAAGGCCTCAAGACACCAGTTGCCAAACAAATTCGTTCAATAGACTTGATCTTGATTGCCAATTACTCGAGTTTTGTCTTGATTCTCATTTCGCAATCAGTGAAAAGTACAAAACAATAATTGATGATACAAAAATATGCATACTGTAATTGGGGCAAATCCAATTTATATCTAATACCTTTTTCGCAAAGGGGATGACTTCACTGACATTGTTGAAAAGAAGTAACTGCGCAGCATCTTTTTGCGAAACTTTTTTGAACGAGCATTCGATACATGAAGCTATCTCATCCCTATAATATTAAGAAAATCAAAGTGTTCTGCATTATTTGATGCACACGGTAATGAGCTTTGTTTTTCATATCAGAGTCAAAATATTTGAAAATATAACAAACCGTACTGTATCCATAGATATACGAATAAAAAGAGCATAATATGAACTGGGGATGTTCTTTTCTGTAAGAACAACCTGAAAGGAAAATCCAACTTTGTAAAACAAAAGGAAAAAAGGATCATAAATACTAGGACTATTTGGTACCCAGCGTTGAGTACGACATAATTACAACCTACAATAATATGACAACCAACATGTGAAGGCAAAAACTCTCTTGTCATGTATATAATAAAAAAAATAAAAACAGTAAAAGTAAATAACATTTTCTGAGCCAGCACAATTGTACACAAGATGTCATTATTAGCATACCTTATTATAAACACCTTCCATGAGTGACTGTTCCAACTTTACCGGCGTTGTAATGTACGGATTGTTCTGTTGAACCTTTTGGTCGATTTGTTCCAACAGCTGCAAAAAAATGGTTGAAAAATGCATTTCCTACTGTATTTGAATGAATGGATTGAGAAATTTAATATTTAGTAGACATATAATCGGTATTGACTAAGAAATAACAAAGACTATGCATTGAAATGTAAAACTTCATCCCACATTTCAGTATGTGTAATGAACCATAGAGAATAATGAACTTTTTCCTTACTTATAAAAGCAGGCGGACCAGCTACAAAAGAAGTAAGACCAGAAATATTAATTGCTCACTCGTATGCGCGATAAATCCAGAGAAACCTTGAGCGTGAGTAAACTTAACATACCATGTGGAACTGTGCATGTTGATTGGTTGTTAAGAAGTACATCAGGTTCAAGCCAATCATTAAGAACTTATTTGGTGACTCTTCACTTGATCTGGAAAATAAATCTTTAACCAGCCAAATAAATTATCCAACTTTCTACTGCTGCAGTAAAAATATGTAAGCTAAGGCTTTGGATTTATTCACATTTTCAAAAAATGGACCTGTAACAATTGTAAAAATTCATCACAACACTGATCGCCTCATGAAAAGCTTTAAGATCAGATTGTAGTACGGCATAGAGGGCATCAATTTCGTACACATCTCCTGCAAAGTAGTATTTTGTGTTTATAAATAAATTTATTTAAATGATCCAGCCAAAACAGTTACTTTGTTTCATAATTTTTCCATCAATCATGTAAAAAAAGCTTACGATGTATAACATGTAACGCAGCACTGCTTAAACCTCTAAGTGTCTCTGGATTTTCCATCATTTCCTGAAACACCATAGAAAAACTTAATTACCCTTTCCATTTTTTGAAAGGCTACTCCGTTATTTAATAAGATTAAGAAAAGAGGAATGCAATGTTCTGGAACGAGTAATAGAGCATACTAAAAAGTAAAATACGACTTCGTAAGTTGAATCGATTTTGTCACTGAATAGCCATCACAACTTCTGATGCAATCGGCAGCTAGACGGTAATTTGGAAGCATTTGCTACATTCAATCATAATTCATTTTCATCTGTAACTACTTTTTCACTAAGAACAACTGAAAGTTTGAAGATGCTTACCTTAACTTGTTTTAGAGCACTACTAACTGCACTCAGAGTCTTCGGCTCCTTATTCCACTCAGCTAATAACTTCTTGTGTACTGCCTCCATTTCTACAACATTTTCCACTCAAAATTTTTACAAAGTAACAGTTATACCATTGAACGAAAAGACGATCGAAGATCGAAAAATTCTGTCAGACAATACAAAATAACAAAAAACCCTTCAAAAAAATTGTTGATTATTATCCCTCCAACAAACAATAGCTTATTAACAGATTAATGCCAACATCTGCAATATTTGGTTTTCTCAACCTTCTTTGAACTTTAAAAAAAATGGCCAAATCACTCTACTCCTTTAAGATGCAAAAGGCAAATTATCGATGGTTTCTTAGGGAAATATTGGTAAAATCACTGCAAAATAATTTAAAACTACTCCAAAAAAGTTCTCAAGATAGGAGTAAGCAAATTGACTTCCTTGAAAAATAAATAATTTCAAACTGGTCATGTAATTTATTTACTAATTTATTCATTTGATATTCCAAAAAGAAATTGAAACATACTATTCTTCGCACTGGGGAAACTGGAAAAAAGTGATCTTAGAAACTTCCTATTCTAATAAAAAATTATTTGAGAAAACTTGCACTACCATAACCCAATTTCTCTATCATCATAGTACACAATGTATTTTGGGATATTTCACAACAATTAACATTTCCATCATATGCACATATTTCCAGCGCAAGTATTATAATCGAAATAAAGACAGTTTGTTAACATTTCTCGAAGGCATTCCTTAATTTCTTCTATTAACACCACAACATGATAAACTCAGAACATGGAATTCACTATTATAAGGAGATATTATACATGATATATTATACAGAAAATAGAAATCGGCAGACTGCTTAACATGAAAACTCACATAAATTTCACTTCTAAATGGAAACAACTTATGTTTATGCTCTCGTTTATGAGACTGCATGATGTTCTCTGATTAGCATAGTAGCTAAATATCGAAAACAAATGAAAATATAAAAACTTATAGTAAGGCAAATGTAAATACAAAATATAAAAGATATACAAAATATACAAAATATAAAAATTACAAAATATAAAAAAGATATACAAAATATAAAAAAGTCAAAAAGTGCTGTATTTCATCATTTTAATTTCTTAAAATAGTTGACTAATAAACAAACAGAAAGTCAGAAATCTCAAAGTTTCGGTTTCATCGACCTAGCCAACTGATTGATGGATTCCACCACATCATCCTCACCTATATCACCAATAATTATCATCTGCCCAGGTTTGATCATCTGCAAATATTTTATAATTAGCACTCTCCACACTAAATCGAATTTGCGAGAAAGAATAGAATGGATTTTTAGAATGGATTTTAGAATGGATTTAGAATGGATTCTGATATCTTCATTTTTATGTTAAAGATAACTGATGGAAAGACAATCACATGTTACCCAAGATAAAAAACTACCCGTTTCATAATCCAAACGAGGGATTGCGATGCAAAGCAGTAAACATGAGCTTCGAATAATATGCTACGGATCAGGAAATTTCACTTACAATGTTACCAAAAAATTTTGGAATCCACGACGCACCTTTTCTGTTATAATCTGACCATTGAGAATCTGTTCGAAAATATCATAATGCATCGCAACAACACAGATCAATTCTTGTTGATAAGGAACACCATCCTCGCCAAAAGGAATTGCTATAAGTAAAACTTCTGCTTTTGCTTTTCTATGTTGTTTTAATTCCTTGTTTCGTATTTTAACAAATATGGATGATATTTTTCAAATGTTGTCTTCAAAATAAAAATTCAAAAAATCAGTAAGAAAATTAACAACTCACTAAAACTATACGCATTCACTCCATTCGTAAGTATAAACATGAACATAAAACAAGATGCTGAATTACTATCTCTTTTCCGGTTTAAAGACTCCGCTACAATCTGAAAGCGGTGTTTCAAAACTCTACAAGCTTTTTTCACTTAACAAGAGTATTATAATAAAATTTTGTCAGGATTCTTCGCTATCTCATCAGTATGTAAACATAAAGGATTTCAACTAGCCATAGTGCTAATATACTCTTATTAAGTCATGTACTCAGTGTCCTTATGATTTAGAAATGAATTCAATCGTCGATATTAAACAATATAATGGATACCTTGAACAATTCCATATATTCTTCTTTCTTCTCATTATCTAGTTCCGACCTTGTTTCCGATGTGCCTTTCTGAAAATATGAGTATTATTTGATTGTGACTTTTAATACACTTTATATATAAAAAAAGGATAAATTTTCAGAACTTACTTTTTCTGCACTGTTTAGCAAATCAAACGTCACTTCTGAAATTTCATATTATTTACATTCAGTAACACAGTTCATGAAATTCAATAGATAAAGGACCATTTCTTGCATTTCTTTAAATGCTTGAAAAAAGAAGGAATAACCTTGTATGCTATCAAAATGTCTTGCAGAGGTCATATCAGTTATCGCTATCCAATTATCCGCAACTGAAACATATTTGCGACACACTGTGATTTAAAATGAACTGAGCATGGCGGAACAGAACTCCTCTTTAGAGCTTTTCCTTGTTCGCCACGTTAATGTTCTTACTCGCTTCGCTAACTCATTTACTTCTTACTCAGCGCTTCGTTTTCTGCCGATATAACAAAACGGTTTATGAAGCTCTGAACTACTTATTCAACCATAGGACAAATAACAGAAAGTTTCACAAGATGACAGTCTGAGAATCTAAAAAGAGTAGGCAGTATAAATTACTAACAGCCGAACCAAACAGCGGATTATGTAAATCCTTTTTTTCAAAGAGAGAAGGGGTAGTCCTCACTGAACAGTGGTAAAGCCTGGTTTATATTTTTACAAATATTGCAAAAATGTGCACAAACTTACTCGCTTCCGCATTTGCAGCCGGCAAGACCATTCCTTTCGACCGATAAACTTGAACTAAAAAGTTAATTTTAATCAAAGTAAGAGCTTGTAGTTATGCAGAACTCACTCAAATCGATCACTACAAAACATCACATATAATCTTTTACTTGGTGCCTTTCAATTTAATCCTTATAGAGTGAACCTTTTTATGAGAAAAATTCGTGAATTAATATATTCTTCGAAAAGGAGAAAACCCACTTTGTCCAAACCAACCGGCACCAGCTTCAAAAACTTTTCCAGTTTCTTGACAAGATTCATGTCCAAGATACACAACAAGTGGTACTACATATTCTGCTTTGAGAACTTGCAAACTTTCTTCGGGAAATAACTGCGCTGTCATCCTTGACGATGCGGTCGGTATCACCACATTCGACTGAATGCCATATCTATTTCCCTCAATTGCCAATGTATGAGAAAGACCAATCAATGCGTTCTTTGCTAAAATTCATCACAAAAATATGCAATCTGGTGATATCTAATCTTAATCGTGGCCAAAGTAACGAGTTAATCGTCTTATCTAACCTGTTAATTGTCAAAAGCCACGATTTTAACGTAATTAAAACTAGGAGTAAAAGTACCTGCTGCGTAATTTGCTTGTCCAAAATTACCGTATATTGCAGAATTTGAAGATATGAAAATAATTCGCCCATACTGCTGTTTTTTAAAAAAAGACCAGGCCGCTTTAGTAACCGAATAAGCGCCTTTAACATGTGTTCTATAGACTGAGTCTGAAAAATGGAAGATGAAAGGTAAAAGCTGGAAAAAATACTAAGTTCAATGAAAGTGTAAGAAATTTCATTAGATATTGTTACAAAAAATTATAACAGCACATACCATAACTTGATCCAACTTATAAATATTCCAAATTTTAGCAGCGATCTCATTACTTAGGGCTCTATCCATTATGATGAATAGTAGCTGTGAAGAGTCAAAAATCCAATAAAATGAAACGTAACTTAGCAAATCAAGCAATTTGACTTCGTATTATATGGGGCCAAAATTAAATAGAATAATGCCAAAAACGGAACATAATACAAACCCCAGTCATCATCGGTCATATTTTGGAAAGATTTGTCAAGCAAAATTCCAGCATTATTAACGATAACATCTGAAAATCTAAGGTTCATGAAGACGAAACTGACAACTTGAATCTTAAACTGAATTTTAACTCACAATTGCCTGCGTATTTTTGCCAATTAAACTTTTTTCCTTGCATTGTAACAAATTGACCAATCCTACTTTCATCATCTTGGATTTACTGATAGATTTCAATCATGATATTTCTATTTCTAATGTATCTTATTCATAACTCTATAACATACCCATACCATATACTGATAAATAACATTCGATATCTGCTGATATCTTAGCATAACCTAGGAGCAAACCGGTTGCAAAAGATGATAAAGAACAACTGCCTACCTACTCGACCGAAATGTGTAATTGCTGTTTCGACGATTTTATGTCCATATTCGACACTATCAAAACTTGGAACTGCTTTGCCTCCAAGAAATTTTATTTCCGCTACAGTCTGTAAAAATGCATGAAAATTACATATTAATTCAAATCGGCAATTTAAAAAAGCAAAACGACATATATATATATAAATGGAGTATTTATAATAAATGTCAATCCAAGGACTGTCAGAAGTTTGAATAGCGACATTTAATTTTTTAACCAATAATAAAGTATCATAAATTTATTTGAAAAAAGTAATGCTGACCGCATTTGCAGAGAGAGATCTCGCATAAGATCCATTATGAGTGGTTCCGATATCATTCACTACAATGAAAGAAAATCACCTTCAATATTCTGAATATAAAGAAAAGAGTAAAATATCGTGGAGTCCTTTATTATGACCAGTAATTTCTCATAAATATTTCCGACGATATAACGATTTTATCCTGAACCAAAATCATAATTTGGAGAGGTTAAAATGCAATTGCTTCAAGTTTATATTTGGATTAGATTTAATACATTGCATACAGAGTTCATTAAAAAAATATTCTAAATCTAAGAATTTAAGGACCTTAATTTATTCAAAATTTGAATAAATGAATGCATTCAAAATGATTGAAATTACCAACAACAAGTGCTCCCCTCTTGGCGAATTCGAGCGCATAAGCTTTTCCCAAACTGCCACCAGCTCCAGTAACAATTACTACTTTATTAGTGAAATTTAAATGATGCATAATAAAAACCAACTTTGCTTCTTCCCTGTTCTTCCCTGAAATTCTTTCAAAGTATATATATATATATATCCTAAACTCAATCTTTCCTAAAACTCAATGGTAAAAATCCTAAGCTTAATCTTTCCTAAACTTAATGCTAAAATACTTTTCTTTTCTAAATCTTTATTACGGCCATTCCCTGAGGCTTTCTTCCCACCCAATCCCACAAAACTACATAAACATCCCATCATGTGCCCAAAGAATATGTGTATCTCTCGTGAAGTATGAATTCAATTAAATGGCGGCATGTTTTTAATAGACAAAGATTGAGTTGAATGACGAGGTGTTTCGGGTAGATAAGGATTAAGTTGGGTAAGGGATGCTTCGGATTGGATGAATGAATGAATGGATATGGATATGAATAAAAAGTAGTGGAATGACTGATTAAGATGTTTCAGTGTGTGTCCTGATGATGGCTCAGGAGGAAGACGATGCCACTGATGATGATGAAGACGATTTCTTTGGTAATCCGTTAAAGCATCTCATGTCTAAAGTGATGAATGCTAAGAAGAGTGAAAATGAAGCTGGGACCACTACAAGTGATCCATTACAAGTGACCAGAAAAAAAGGTATTTATACATTTACAAGGTTTTCCCTCCGTTTGTTTAAATGTGATTAGATTGCTTATCCATCGACCTGGGTTGCATAATTAGTTGTAACATAGTGAAATTTCAAATGAACGTATGGCATCACGAATGGTACACTTTGTCAATTAATAGATGTCATTGCAAATTAAAACATGTTTTCTAATATATAAAAAAGCAAAACATGTTTGATAGTGCACACCAAAAAACTTGATGGAAGGATAAGAAATATTTGTATATATAAAACTTTTCCTTAGGAATCTGGTATTTAAATAGCAAAAAATATCGTGAATTTTCCTGAATATGTTGTGATTCTCTATTTTCTTGAAAAAATTTCAGAACCGATCAAAAAGGATAAGGGCAAGAAAAAGGAGAATACACTGGGTTAGTTATATCTGATAGATTTGTCACTTTGATAAGGGGTTTAACAACAGTTGCCTATCAACAAAACAGAAGATGACCCGATATTGCAATCTTGTCAAGTATAAACATTTTTATCACTTTTATTTAATTGATAAGGAGATTATTTTAAATTCTGGATGTGATAACGAGTTTTTAATAGTGGTATCGCTTATTAAGGTTTGGATTGTTCTTAAGTGCGTTCGTTATAGATGATCTAAACGACGACGACGATGATTTATTGACGTTGGGGAGAAAAAGAAAAGTAAAGGAAGATTCCGCTTTATCGGAAGTTGAACAAGAAATCAAAGAGCTGGAAAGATTTTCCAACATTTCTGCTTTTCCCTCATCTGGTTTGGGTCCTTCAACAAGCAGTTCTACAGAGAGCAATACCAAAAGGTTGCGAATTAACAAATAAATGAAGGTGTACCTAGTTGATGCAGAAGTGTAATTAGCAATAGACAAGTAGTTGAATTGATGACCAAAAGAGTACCCATCTTTCATAAGAATATTAACTTAATTAACTTCATAAGAAGGCTTATGAAGTTAATACAATGAATGGCCAAACAGTTTTGCTCATGTATATTCTCTGGAAAGGTACATATTAAAAGCCTTGTTCTTTTTTTATTATTTTCTCAATTATTACAGAAGGAGAAAAGTTATGGATGACAGTAATTCTAAATCACATACTAGTCCCATTATTATTGACGATAATACTCTTGAGGCCGACGACAGTATATTTGCAAAAGAAGAAGTCTTTATTGTGGAACCACACTGCTCGATTGAAATTGGTGATCTCGAGAGCTGTGATACTTGTATAAAACGTTGGAAAATGGTAGGCACTTCTTAGCTTTGAAATTCAAACTGAATTCAAGGATTCATTTTGTGAGTGCCAGCTTGTTTGATCTCAATTCGATGGCATAAATGAATGTATAAAATTACTTTTTCTTAGCAGTATCCATCTGTAATATCTACCATTGTTCAGAATAATAAAGGAATGATAAAGTTTGACATTCTGAACCCTACTGCACACCTCCATTTTTACTCCAGGATACAGGCTCTTTTGAATGTTCAAAAAAGCCAGTATCCTAGAATAAAAATTTTTGAATATTTTTTGAGTACGGTTCAGAATATTAAACTTTATCATTCCTTTATTAGCAACGATAAGAGCACACCACCAAGGGATTGAATTGTCATTAAGTAAAATACATACTAATATTATTCCTTTGAGAAGTGTAATTCATAAATGATATTCAGAGTGAAACATTCATGGATATTATCAAACTTTATGCATCAAATTGGTCTTGTTCACCGGACAACGTAATTTTATCACTGAGGAATGGAAAGCGAGTTTCTACAGAGGACACTCCACGCAGTGTTGCTTTCAGTGAAAAAGATGTCAATTATTTATCAGTTTACAAAAACAGTCAGAGTGGAAGTCATAAAACGAACAAAATAACTGTTAAATGGTTGCTACCTGAACAAAACAAACCCATCATTACTACCGTTCCGAGGGTAACTATTCGAAAAAGAAATGACTAAATTGAAGAGACTTTCATTTGTAAAAATAAATGATCGGTTTAAAAAAATTGGAAATGCAGTGCTTCATTGGAATTTTCATCTCTTCAAGAACTCTGTTGATATACTGGGTAAATCTAGTGGCAGTATTTCCTTTTCAGGATATCCCATTCATAATTTTGAAACGAGATTTCGCCGTTGATAATGGGTTGGATGAGGAAAAACTTGCATTAGTTTTCGATGGCGAACGTATCAATCCGCAAGAAACTGTGGACACATTAGGAATCGAGAATGATGATTGCATCGACGTGTACATGAAGTGATCTCACTTTGGCTATGTTAATTTCAAAGCAGTTTACTTGACTGAAGTCACGTTTAAACCTTTGATTTATGTGATTTATTCATTTCTATACTTTTTGATAGTTGTCTTGTTGCCTTCGTTGAATAAACGTGTTCCAAGTTTGTTTTTATAGAGCCATTCATCACAGATGTGTTTCCATATCAATCGATTATATTATCGACGTCTCGTCTAATTTTCGAGTATTTAGACAGTTACTTTATCTGTACATATTTTGAGTACCATCAAGTTTAATCAGTAACAATAAAGTTCTATGCGGGACATTTTAATACACAAATTATACTTTATCGTAGTAAATCACTCACCTGATGTTTGCAAAGCTTAATATAAATCATCTCTCGCTTATGATATTCTTCGAAGCATAGATCCATTGTGGTACTATGTCTTATGTCACTATGCAAAGAATTCTGTGACGTGTTAGTGAATCTATATAGTCATTAGAGTGCGCGGGGTATGTTTATTAACGATTTTTATTTCTTTCTGTAACCGTATCACTAAAACCTCTGTGATAGGTACTCCCTGTGATAGGTACCTCTGTGATTAATCTTCCACTTATTTGTCGTTTATTCAGTTTCCCATCTAGTTTGGATTATATAAATGTCTGTTTTTTGATTGCTCAGTGATAGATAAAGTAATTTATGCTAGTTCGTCGTCCATTCAGTAATTCACGCTAGTTGTTTAATCTTTCCTTATTCGTCATCCATTTAACAATTTACGCTAGTTTAATCTTCCACTTATTCGTCGTTTATTCAGTGTCCCATCTGTATCTGCTAGTTTGGATTATATAAATGCAAACTGCGTTAAGAGGTGGAGTATCTGAATGAACCTTAAAACGAAAAACTCTGTCAACTTTTTTCGATCTTTGTCAAATATCGAACAATTGGAAATGTTCGTGATTCGGAAGATGCAGTTCATTATTGAAAATAAATATCTTGTTTTTGTTACAGACTCGGAAATGACTGCGCTAATTTTTCGACACGAGAAACTACACGCTGATTTATTCCAGTACTTGTGGATACCTATGAGTACTACACGATTGTATGGCACTGCTGTTATACAACCTTGCAATGAACAGCGTGATTTATACCAAACACTCGGTGTTGAATCATCTGCTACAGCAAAAGAAATTAAAGCAGCTTATTATCAATTATCAAAAATTTATCATCCAGACAGACATGATGGTGAAGAACAGAAGAATTTGGCTGCTGAGAAATTTTTACAGGTGCAAATTATATTATTTATGTTGCATTCGCTTCCAAATTTTTGCTAAAGATTACTGTGAGCAAATTTACTTATCCTCTTTATTCTGTAATGCCACAATCACGCATCGGCCCTAATCAGACTACCAGTCCTCGTCGGTCAATTTGCGCGGTTATATTTATTAAATGTTACTATTATTTATCGAAGATTTTCAAATTATCGTACTTCAGGTAGCGGAAGCATACGAAGTTTTATCATCCGATGAAAAACGAAAAATTTATGATAAGAAATGCCAAGAAAGTTGGATACAAACACCAACCGGAAGTTGGCCGACGCAGATGAAAGTGAAAAAGAATTTTGAGGATTTGGGATTAGATTACAAAACCTTCGAAGACTTTCAACGTAGCGTAAATACTAGGTCAGTAACACTTACGAACTCTATCTCTCGTGACTGAAAATTCCAATCATTTTTAAGCTCATCTTTTAGAAAACAACGGACTAAACATGATCACTGGCAAATGCCCGATGAATTTTTCGCTCACTTCGGCAGTCACCATAAATTCACTAATACTTTCCGTCCACGAACAGCAACTTATTTTACTTATAGTTACAAGGTCATCTAAATTTTTTTTAATTTTTTGTTTGTAACATTTCAATACATGCTTTACAATACAATTAAAGTAATACATGCTTTATAGTGCAATTAAAGCAATGCTTTAAAATATTAGATAATTTGCTCAACAGATAAGTGTACACGCCGTATGTTACCATTGCTGCATGAATTGCATTGCATGATTTAAAATGAAATTAATTCAGGATCCGATGCAACGACAACGTGAGATGAAAGAATGGAAAATTCTGATGGAAATTGAGGAAGAAAAACGGAAATCTAAATATAAAACACCAGCCTTTGTGGTAATGGAAAGGGAACGAAGAAAGCGAGAGCTAAGCGAAAAAAGAACACTCAATATTTTACTTCTTGTTTGTGGATGTGCAACGATATTAATCTATATCCGCATAGTATAGGAGATTATAATGTTATAAATTGTAGAAAATAAACTGTAAAGTTCAGAAAACGTAGCTACAGCGAAGTGCAAGGAAATCTGCGTAATACTTACGATCATCACAATGCTGCAGCCGGGTCAAACATTTTTATTAACTTTCTCCTGACCTATCTACACAGCTGTCTAGAGAAGGCCAACTCTAGAAATGTCCATATTCCTTGGAATATTGCACACTAAATGATGAAGATGAGCAACGGAGAGGAGTGTTCTGGAACAATCGGATGCTATATCCAGTGAACTATAGCAACGACAGTGTAATATCAAAATAACTGAATTTGAAGATCATGTTCCACATGTGTTTCTTACTCGTGTTAGTAGCAGTAGCACACAATAAGTTACCGTTTATTACAGCACACATAAGTTACCGTTTATTCAAATCTCAAGAATCGTCAACTTGATGCATGAAATCATCACCGTCACAAAATTTTGTTGTTCATGTATCAAATTTATGTAATTCAGAAACATAAATCAGGATAAACAAACACAAAAACAATTAATAAGTGGCATAAAAAGCACGGCAACAACAGTAATATAATAATGATCAATTTTTTCCAAAATATTTTTGGTTTTTGTTCCAGAACCTCTTGAACAGTCAATCCGTTAGAGATCTTCATCGTCATCTGGAAGTTCAGCATTCGCTGCGGCAGCAATTTCTTGTTCGTACTGCGCAACCATTGTTGGGTCCATTTGCACTTCAGGTGGGGCAAGTGCAGGCATTGCAACAAATTCTAAGTTTGGATCGCCTAACAATTTCCGAGCCAGCCACAGGAAAGGTTTCTCGAAATTATAATTGCTCTTCGCTGAGATATCATAATACTGAAAACAAAGAGAAATATAAATTTACTGAAGTCTCATTTGTCGTAACTGACATAAAAATAAACTGCTGTATGATCACAGGATCAAACTGACATCAAAACATGATGCAATGGTGGTGGCATGTTCCCCTTTTCGTCCTTCTTCATAAAGTGAAAATGAAAGTACCTGAAGATTCTTTTTTCGATGGAATGTGATCGTTTTAGCCTTAACTTTTCTGTCCTTGACATCTACCTTATTCCCACACAGAACTATCGGGATATTTTCACACACGCGCACTAAATCACGATGCCAGTTTGGAACATTTTTATAAGTAACACGTGCTGTTACATCGAACATGATGATGGCACATTGACCTGAAATATTTTTTTATTTATTATAATCTACAATAGGATATAAAGGTTTCCAAAGCTAGCTACGAAGTCTGTCTAACGTCCTTAAGCAGTAATATTCAATATGATAATTGATAAACTCTCCAACCAGTAAGACACGTTATTTTTGAATATTATAGAGTTTAGCAGAAATTATATAATACTCACGACAGTTAACCGTTAGTTGCTTCCAACTTTACCTTTTTCATCCCGTCTGCATACTTATTTTTTCTAATAAAATTGCTCACAACAGAATTTATCGTCGAATGGCAAACACTAACAAAATATGACCCATGGAACAAAAACTCACGATTAAACACATACCCTGTATATAATAACCATCTCGCAATCCGCCGAATTTTTCTTGCCCAGCTGTATCCCAAACATTGAATCGAATCTGACCTCTGTTTGTGTGAAATATCAGTGGATGAACTTCCACACCCAATGTTGCTATAAAAAATATCACAAAAACTAAACATGTAAGGGATAGGTAAGTCTAAGACAGAAGAATTACTTCATTATAAACGAACATAAGATAAGATGAATACCTACCAACATATTTCTTCTCGAATTCTCCTGTAAGATGCCTCTTAACAAACGTCGTCTTGCCCGTACCGCCATCGCCAACAAGTACAAGCTTAAAAGTCGGAATATCGTCACCACCTGCCATTACTTGTGTTGCTATTACTGCAATGTTAAATTGGATACAATCTATCATCAACATAACATAATTGTTTTCGAAATATAGACATTTCTGCAAAATGTCAAAGTGGGGACACAATAATCAAAACACATGAAAGTAACAATTTGTTTGCACAGGCAAAAAAGTACCAATTAATGAAATTGAAAAAATAAAGGAAAGATTGTTATAATGAAAAGAAGTATGATTTCAATAACATATTTATGTAAAGTAGGGCTAATAAATATTTTAACTCCACTAATATTTGCAAGAGGGAGGACAAAAAATCTTACTATTATTTGCAACTAATAGACCAGTTTCACTAAAGAAAAAACACATGATCTCATTCCCGATGTCTCACCAGCATGCATCATGCCATCCTTAGAACATCTATGTTCTTATTCCATCAAATAAACTCTAGCATTTGCTGAATTCACCTCAAACCTTTAATCTCCTCACCCGCTCATAACACCTTCGAAAAACTCCCAAGCCTCACCACGAGAAACTCTCTAGCAAACACAGCTCTACACTCACAATTGGAAACAACTAACCGCATACCATTAAATTTTGGCTATTCGTTTCGCAACCTGGCCTACTGATAAACTTCGTTTGAAGAGTTCGGACACATATATTTTTCGGATTTTTCATGGAGGGAAGTGGCGGGTGCATTAGGAACTTTAAATCTAAGGCTTTGAGTGGAAGTTAAGGTTATAATTACTGTTGCAATCAACCTATTACTTTATTTTGACCTATTTTTAAACTATATCATCTCCCTTAAACTCCCTTTAATTATCTCCCTTAAAACGAGTGTAATCGTCTGTAAATTTGTGAGCACTTATCTGTACGTGAAGGCACTGTACGTTACTGAGCGTTACACATAAGTGTCCACTAACATTGCACATGAAGTTCTTCTAATGAATATATATGGGCTGGAGAGAAATACCGGAAAGAATTTCAAGCATGATATATAGATGAGGATTTTGAAATGAAAAACTCAAGTAAGCTGGTTGCAAAATTGAAGTTTCATTTTCATACAGTGATGCATGAAAGAAGATGTAAAAGGAAAAGTGTGGGATGGAGCATTGAATTCATAATAGATATTTTAATTGATTCATCATTGCATGGAGTGCCTGTTTCAGTAAACTATTATCAACATGTTACAGTTGATGGTACTTGTGGAACCCATCAAGTTCACTTTATGACGTTATTATTGTAATAGAAAGTACGTAATGTAATTGTATTTTTAGAAATAAAATGGGAAAGAAACAGAAGTCGAAGCACAATGAATTCGACCTGGGTGTAAGTTCCGTTCTCGCATTTATCAGTTATTGATATGAATTATGAGTGTACTAAATAATTTCTTTTCCAATTACATTATTACAGGAAGCTCAGGCTGCAGGTGATTACTCAATCAAGCCTTCCGAAAAAGCAGCTGTACTAGACACCTCCCAGTGGCCACTCTTGTTAAAGGTAAGCAATTATTTGTAGATGTATAATATTCTGAGGGAAGAAGAGTGATATGTATATAAGGCTTATGTATTCCTCTTAGTTGTTCTGGTTGATGATTCGATTTACAATTACTTCCGCATGATGCTTTAAAACATACATTGGCAGTCTGTGAAGCATGTAATAAATAATGTTCGGAGAATAAATTTGAGAACACATTAAATTTCCTTGATTTCTTCCACAAAAGTGCTCATTGCATTAAAACTTTTTCTAAATGAAGTTTTCAGAATTTCGATAAACTGAACGTAAGATCTAATCATTATACTCCACTTCCGGAAGGTTGTTCACCTCTCAAGAGGGATATTAAGAACTACGTCTCTTCCGGTTGCATAAATTTGGACAAGCCAGCTAATCCGTCAAGTCATGAAGTGGTAGCGTGGGTCAAGCGAATATTACGAGTTAACAAAACTGGACATAGTGGGACTTTGGATCCCAAGGTATACGCTTTTTCTCTAGATTTTTTTCCTAGACAAAATTTTCGCAGATTCACTAAATCATTTCTTAATAATGTTTTACAAGCACGACAAAACACTTTACAGAGCAATTAAGACTTTCGTAGATTATTCGATTATTAAAACATTTCTTCTCTTAGTTTCTTTAGAAAATATACTTGCATATTTGAGAATGTCTTCAAAATTTTCTGAGTTTTGAAGGTTATTTGCATCCTTTCTTCACGAAATGAATAAAAATAAAGCTATAAGAAGTCTGAATAGATTATGGAAGATCTCAAAATTCCTATTTTTTATCAGAATTATATGTTTGCAGGTGTCAGGTTGTTTGATTGTTTGCATCGATCGAGCTACTAGACTTGCAAAATCACAGCAAGGTGCTGGAAAAGAATACGTAGCAATATTTCGATTGCATAACACTGTTGAGTCAGAAAAAAAAGTGAAACAAGCCTTAGAGAAATTGACTGGCGCATTATTTCAACGTCCCCCGCTCATATCCGCTGTTAAACGACAGCTAAGAATCAGAACAATTTATGAAAACAAGCTGATTGAGTATAATTCGAATCAGAATATGGGAATATTTTGGGTTTGTCTTACATTAACCATTTCTCCTTAATTATTTTTGCAATATACTCTACATTTCCAGTTCATTACATCTTTACAACATCCTTTTTTTTCTTGTATTATTAATTGGTCAGTTGTATTTTATTTACAAATGGTTTAGAGGCTGTTTTAAGGTGAAATGTGAAGCGGGAACCTATGTGCGGACAATATGTGTACATCTTGGCTTGCTTCTGGGAGTCGGGGGTCAAATGCAAGAGCTGAGGAGAGTTCGTTCAGGTGCGTTTTTTAGGTTTCACAAAACTGATATTCGTTTTTACGTAAAATCACTCAATAATATTTGTTAATTATTTTTACGTTTTGAGGTATTTTTGGTGAAAAAGACAACTTGATGACGATGCATGACGTTCTGGACGCACAATATCTTTATGACCATAACAATGATGATAGTTATTTGCGAAGAGTGATCAGACCACTTGAATCTCTCCTCGTGGGCCATAAACGAATCGTTGTTAAAGATAGTGCTGTAAGTATTTTGTTCACTTATTTTATCTCATGAAAAAAACAAGTTTTTATTTCTCCCTGAGTTTACCGGAACCCATTGTAATGCGTTTTTCATTAATAGTTTTAATGTTCGTGCTGTGAATGCATTTCATCGAAAGAGTGAATGGTGAAAATTATGGAACCTTTTCACTCAGTATATTCGTTTATTAATCCTCACCTCCACATCTCAGCATGTTTCATTATGTTGTATCTTTTTAGTACTGTTCAACTACTCCTAAATGAAAAAAGGATATTTGGGTTTTTGTTGCATACTTTTAATTTTGTAATCACAGCATTTTATTAGGTGAATGCAATTTGCTATGGCGCCAAAATACTTTTGCCGGGTATTCTTCGGTTTGAGAATGGAATCGAATTGAACGAAGAAATTGTTGTCGTAACAACAAAAGGAGAAGCTATTTGTTTAGGTTTGTTTCACCTCCTGATTTTTAGTACATTTATAATGCAATAATGGTTATTTACACAATAGATATTTTAAGTACTACGTTTTTTGCTTCACATTAAAATCTCATCATTTGGGTTTAGCATTGGCACTAATGACCACATCAACTATGGCAGTGACGGATCACGGGGTCGTCGCAAAAATCAAGAGAGTGATTATGGAGAGAGATACTTACTCTCGAAAATGGTGTCTTGGTCCAATTGCATCCAAGAAAAAAGCTATGGTCACGTATTTTTCTTTTATTATTTATAATAGAATGTTGTCTGTTATTCTTCATTTAACTATTTTAGTGGACCATTCACTTTAAAGATTGAATGAATCAACCTTAGACGTAAAAGATCAAAGATTTTATTATGAAATATTACAATTTTCAGATAAGTCAAGGGTTACTTGACAAATATGGCAAACCAAATGAAAAAACTCCGGCTGGTTGGCGTTCCGCTTATTACGATCTAAGTGACACCAACCCGAGTAACTGTAAACAAATATTGCCGGAAAATGAGAAAAAAGATTATAATAATGAGGTTTGTATTTCGCATTTTTATCAAAAAGATAAAGAGGGAGAAGAGAAGCTAATTTGAACGCGACATCAAATAATAATTTCACGACAGCACATCTTCGTCATATTTTCTCAGCAGGAAACTTTTAATCAAAAATCATGTAGCTTGAAGTCTGAGATATTAATGTCCATTTTAATATGCCATTTTTAAAACAGTGTAATAAATCTAAACTGGTATATCAATAGAAAAATAATATCAGCTGATTCTACAGCAGTCAAAAGAGAAGAAGAAAGTGGAATCGTCGGATTCATCAACCGATGAAGAAAGCGAGTAAATTGTAAAATTCGTTAGTTCATTGTTGATTTCTCTTTGTGTCCGTGCTTCGGATTGGCAACAAGTTCTCTCAGTTTTTAGTTGAGACTTGTTAAAATACAGGTTTTGGTTCTTCCACATAGGTTTATTTTTAAAACATTTATATTCGTGAAATCTTAACATGGTAATGCTAATGTCTCCTTATTTTCCTTAAAAAGGATATTACAAATGTAAATGATACTTCCTATCGTTTATTTAAAAAAAAAAACAGTACTTGTCATGAGATGTTATTATTCCTGAAAACAAATGGCGGTGGGATTACTACCATCCCATCAAAATTGCTTCGGCTTCCATTGATGTTACCGAGCCGAGGTTATTATTCATCAGAAGATTATATATGAATTATTTATGGAGATGGAAAGGGAATGTTCGTTCATCAATCTGCTGTACATTTCAGGAAATTTGCTTTGATATTGTTTTTTGTTTTATTTAAACAAAAGTTTTGTTTTGTGAATCTCAGAATCTTTGTTCAGTTCCTTCAAACAATATCCAACACTGTTGTGTCTGTGCAGAGTTTTCCCGTTTTTGTTATAAAAAATTGTTGCTTATAAAAATTTAAAAGTTTTTTTGGATAAGCTTGCACTGTGCTGATTTTAGGTAGGTATGCCGAGCTACAGTTCTGTTCACACATTCAAAAAAATAATACCAAACTTCTTGAGCTCAAAGAAAAGCGCGAGAGAATGCTCCGAATTCAACTTTAATAATTTTAGGATCAAGAAAATATAATTGGAGTCATCAGAATGCTAATGTCTTTTTCGGTAATATGGAAAGGAAAGTGTTGCGCCATTGCGTAATTAAAATTCCCGCGTATTTCAGATCTTTGTTTTTGACGGTTATGCTTCAAAGTTCACAAAATTTAGTTTCAAACGAATCGCTTTATAAATACAATGCAATCTTAAAAGAAAAGGCACTAAAATAGCATTGGACAGAATTGATCCTTTTCTAAGTGATGACAGAATTCCGTTTTTTCTTGCTGAATTCAATTCAAACTGATTTGTTATTTGGTGTTCCTTCCCTGCTGCCATCCACCCTTGTCGTATGACAAGTTTCCCCCTCTTCCCCGTCCCGCCGTTAAAGCCTTTTTTTATCTAATAAAAATGGCTATTGAGTAATATGGACACTAGCTACCAATCCACCCTTTTGGGATAGGCACACATAAAAAGATCTTCGATCTTAAAAGTTATATGTATCTGCCATATTTTTATCGGCTATTTCGTCCTCTAATAAGCGAATTCTTCTCTCGTGTTGCCGAAGAATAGCTTTGATCTTATTCAAATCTGACAGCACGTCTTCCACTGAACTTGACTGAAACTTAAATTTCATAAATAAAAGCTACTAATTTTATAAAGTTAAATATTTTGGCAACAAAATTGTAATTCATTTGTAGTGCGAAGGTCAATGTTAAAACACTACTTGATGATGATAGAGTAAGACTATATAATAGAAATGGTAATACTATCCATTAATGATAATAAAAAGATTCTTCAAAAAGAAAGTAAGAATTGCAGGATTTCAAATAATTTATGGATCTCAAATAAAGACTGTGATTCGAATGGATCGCAGCTTAAAAGCATTTCCATCGTCCATTAAATTTTAGCGACTATCAAATACTTAAAAATGTTCATAACATAGACATAGGTGGTAGCACGGGAGAAAACGAGGAATATATTTCTGAAAATCACCAACCAATCCAAATTTCAAAATTCAAGATGGCTAAGATTTACCTCAGAAGGCCCGCTTATACTCTGTCTTGGTGAAACCGAATTACTGTGCATTTGTTGTGGAGGAGCAAGCTCTTCTCGATCCGGCTCCCGGTCTTTTGTTCGTTTGATACGTTCTAAATCAGCGGCTATTCTTCTCTGACCAGGTGTTGTCGGCGCACCATCTCTTTCGACATGCGATCGTAAATGTACCTGAATAGTGAGAGAAATGCAAAAACAAAAAATGGAAAAAAAGTAAATATGATTCTGTTTCATTTCAACTTCGTTATCATTAAAAATAACTTTTAATCAATTTTCAAACGAATCCATGGCAATTATTGCATAAAGCACCTGTTGCCGTGGTACCATTGGGTTCGGCCGTTCTGGACTACGGGGATTTTGTGGACGCTGCTCACGTTCCGGGCCACCACCACGTTCTATCCTGATAATACCGGTCTCTTCGTCAACTGGTCCAGCAAGCATACTTTTCGGTCTGGATTGATGAGTTGCCGGAGTTGGCTCTTTATGACGTATATCCTCATATGATGACATCCGTTGTTCAGCCTGTGAGCGTGATGTAACCAGTTCCTGGCTAGATATTTTTTTCACTATACTTCTTATCACTTTAAATTTTGAATATCTGGCACTAGTTTTAATTTAAAAGTATCAGCCAAAATATATTCTCAATAAGATAATGATTTAAAACTATAAGGAAAATGGAACCTGGGAGGAAGATTAGCAAGGATATTGGCTTTTTTCGCTATTTGTATTTTAGGCTTAGCGATAGCAGCATCTGGATTTACTGGTACCAAATTTGGTGGAGCATTCTGACCTTCGATAAACTGTTCCGCGGTCAGTGCTGGTACGTGGCTTCGAGTATCTGGATACAAATCTGCCTAAAATTACAAGAAATATGGAGATTATTTTACATTTCCATCAGCTTATTTTTCCAAAATTTGTTTAATGATAGATTCACTTATTGAGTGCGTTAACTCTAATTTAAGTAAAGCATACCTTATTCTAAAACTCTATTTTAGTAAAGCATACCTTATTCTAAAACTCTATTTTAGTAAAGCATACCTTATTCTAAAACTCTATTTACGTAAAGCATACCTTATTCTAAAACTCTATTTTAGTAAAGCATACCTTATTCTAAAACTCTATTTAAGTAAAGCATACCTTATTCTAAAACTTGGTACCAGTAAAAATATACCACATTAAAATGAAATGAGACAGAGTGTAAACATTGTTAATAAAACAATTGCATCAAAGATTTAAGATAATTTAGAGAAACATTTTTTGAAAAACAACCTTTTTGGGTTTTAAACCTTTTTGAAAAACAAAAAGAAGAAAAGAGTGGAAGCAAAAAAGCGCTTAATAAAGTAAACGATAATATAAGGATGTTTCGTTCCCTTTTCAACAACTTGAATATACTAAACTTCAAGTGATCAAACCTGATATAAATCGGATTTTCTCGGAACAAAAAACTGCAATTCATCAACAACACCTTTTGTTGTTACTTTATATATGCGTGCAATTTCATTTTCATTCGAATTGAGACCCAATTTTGGCATGAATGCAATACCACGCTGAGGTTCCGATGTTGTATATGTGTTGATATAATGTACAAATGGATATTCATTGTTTACTTCATAGTATCGTATAGCACAATCACCCTGAATAGCTGAATAGTGCCAATAACACTAACCGATTAATTAAACGTTCAATAAGTAAGCAAAAATAAAAGCCTATTAAATTTAAATCTTAATAGGTTTCCGCTTTTTTAATACTAATAAATATCATATTAAGATAAGCTGTGAGCTTTTGTACTTTAGAATATGCCTTTGTATTTTTATCAAATGATAGCTAACATTTATTGTTAAGCAAATGATAAGACTTACTTTGCCTACTAGATAAACAAGACCGCTATCCTCATCATATAATGGAAATAGTACACCATTACTTGTATCAAGCTCCTCTTGTATCAATGGTTCATCAAGATTTTCCTGAATATTTCCGGTGGATGAAAATGATAACTTAAAAAGAAATCTGAGATAAAATTATAAAATATAAAATACGCTTAATAAAAAATCAGAATCTTAGAAAAAGAATTCCTCCTAATTCTATTTAGTAAAACAAAAAAGAAGGAACTTGTGTTCGAAGTGCGTAAAGCCTTTCAGAACGTTTGGTGAAACCAGTCGTAAGAATTCTGCCATCTTTAAGAAAGATTGCACGTTGTGGTTTCACTCCTTCATGTCCATTACCCTGATGAAGCACCTCACCCGTATGAGAGTCGATTACCCGTATCTTCTTATCTTTAGATGTTGTCACGAATCGACTTCCTAAAAGTAACACTTTATATATTTCAATATATAAACTAAATTTTTTTTTATATAAAGAAAACAAAAGGAGAAAATATGTCCTAATTTTACACATCACATTCTTTGATAGTAATTCTTTTAAAACTCTCTCATACTCTCAATACAATTTATATTCAATTTATATTCGAATAGAAAATTTTTAAGATAATATAATTCATATAATATATTATCATATAATATAATATCATATAATAATATAATATCATATAATTATACTATCATATAATTGAATAGAGAAAGCAATTTTCGAAATACATTGGTTGTAAAAAAGTAATTGATAAATTTTATGGAAATTTTAAGAAAAAGAAACCGTCGTAGTTGAAACATACAGACCATATCATATCCGGATGGCCACTAATTTCTAGTAATGCATCACCTGTACCAACATTCCAAATTAATAATTTATTTTCACCACCTAAAAATAGTTAAAATAAATATATTAAAGAATAATTAATGCTACGATAAGATGTTCTCTAATAGTATTAGAAACGTTGAAAATAATAAGCTTCTCAAAGAAAGGTAATAATCGATTTTTTTTAATAATTACTTTTACGTATCATATTAATGTAAGTTAAAAAAAAAAAACTATTACTTTCATTGATCGATAATTAAGTATCTATCAGTTCAAATGAAAAAAATTAATTAAAGAATTTAAAATATAAGAAATTGTCCTATTTCAATATCAACAAATTTACAAACAAGCCTAATTAGTTGTGTACTAAGAAGAGAAAAAGATATTTTACCAGCTGTAAGGAGAATATTGTTGGCTGTTGGATGCCACGCTAAAGTATTCACACGTTTTTGATGACCACATAATTCAACCACCGGTTGATTAATCGTACGAATTAATCCATTTTGAGGAATTAACCATATCTTAATTATATATTAGTAAATATTATGGATATATGCATATAAAATATGCAAAATAATCCATGCATACTAAATATATATGCATATATTAAATTGTAAATAATACCTTGCAGGTAGTATCCTCTGAACAGCTGGCAATAACATTTTCATTAAAAGGACTCCATGCTACTTCATGACATGGAGCACGATGAGCATCCACAAAAGGATAGTCTTTTTCAATACGTCCAACCTGTAATAATACAACATTTTCAAGGTAACAAGGTGGTGATATGATTTTTGAAAAAAAGAAAATTTCATAAGAAGAAAATTTGCAACGTTTCATTTATTGTCATCAAACAAAGTTGTCATGTATACTACGTCTACTATATTACGTATATATTTATATATGTTAATTATCTGTCATCAATTCTTCTATAATTAAAGATTATGAATTCCAATAAATTAATTCATAAAAGTTCATTTCAAATTTGATATATATTTTAAAGTGAGAAATATTATAGTTTGCAGAAATAAGCTTTAAATTAAATTGGGATAAAATAAACAATTTAAATTGGGATCAAATAAACAATTTAAATTGAGCAATTTCTTAATTAATTAATCATTCGCTAATTAAGATTATCAGCACTAATTAGCTTCAATTTTTTTAATTATAAATATTTTACTAAATGCATTGCAACTTTTTCTATCATTTGAAAGTAATTCTTTTTGCGCTTTAATTGAAATGTAATCGATGACTAAAAGCACTTAATAAATCAATATGAAATTCTGCAACCAATTTTATTATTACATAGTCTATTCAATCAAACCATTTAACATCTACTTATTCTACCCATTTTTAATTTTATCCAATTTTATAAGTGATTTCTTATTCTCTCTCTCTCTCTGTGCCTTACTTCTCTCTTCCGTATTACATAAAAATTATTGCAAAATTTCCTGTTGAATGATTGCAAAATTTCCTGCCAACTCATTAGTCATCGATTAATCATCAAATTAAGAAGTTATAAAAATATCTTATGATAAAATTTAATTGATATCGTTCAGATATTTTCTTTAATAAAATCTATTGTTTCATAAAAATATTTCATCTCCGAATTTCTTATTTTTAAATCCATTCAATATAAGAATCTATTTCATAAATTTTATATGCCTTAAATAATAATTGGCCTAAATTTTAACTGTTCCTATTTGGACAGATTGAGAAGATGGAAAAGTTGAAGAGAGAGAGAGAGAGAGAGAGAAAGTTAAGATGATGGAAATAATAAGAGTGTTGAAGTTTTGTTTCTTTAATTTTAAAATATTTCCTATTACTATAAAAGATTTTTGGAAGTAGAAGATATGATAGGTAAGAATGAAGAAGCACTGATAAAATTATCCAATTATCACTTATCTTTTGTAAAATTTTTTCAGTGCTCTCAAAGTGTGTTAACATGAATTCATAATTTACTCCCTCTCTTCTTTCTCTCTCTCTCTCTCTCGTATGATAGAGAGAATAAAAATTAACAGATAGCGAGAAATAGTTTATGAATGAACCATAAATTATAATTTATAGGGCAGTAAAATGGAAAGAGTTGAAGTGACAAGAAAACGGCAAATAATATATGCGAGAAAACCAGACCGCATCTTCTACCACTCCCATATCTCTCAAAAGAACGGGATTATATCCTGATAGCAATGAAATTCTCAGCTCAAAGAATAAGTTTATTAATTTAGAGATTCTCTAATTCATTTAAATCATAATTTTAATATTTCTACAATTTCAAATTTTATTCTGAGAAAGAAAAAAATCAATAACTTTTTAAAACTCAATCTATCATCATCATAATATCAACTAGGATCGTTTGTTGTGCTTACTGTACAATCAAGATTAATGTAAACAAATAGTTTTCAACTTATCCACTCAGAGAGCGAGAAGTAGAGTTAAAATTTTAAGTGGAAAAAATATCGGACGATATTTTAGAGCAATCAAAAAGGTACCTTTTGAAACTTATAGAAGAAGCTATTATTTCTACACTTTTACTACATTTTTACTACATCACACTACTTTCTTTCTTTGTCATACACATTAGCTATTAATTCGAAAAAATTAATTATCAATGCGATATCAAAATGAGTGTGATATTTATCAAAAGAATAAGTTACGGCAATACTATAGGATTAAAAGGGAGATGAATTTACGATTCACGATTTATCGATTGTATCAGTAATTGCTTCCGCTCATGCTGAAATGTCCAGTCTGCATTGCATTAACACTACTCCGATTATGGAAGCTATCCTGAACAACACTATGCTGATCCGGTTATTGATTCATTTTGCGCTTTAAAAAACGAAAAAGAAAAACCATTACTTCTATTGCCTCAATATTTCACTGTTGTTTTGCAACAACGCAGTACACTATTCAATTATCTTTATTGTTCTTTTCCGATGGGTCGACTCCTCATAGAGCTCACTCATGCCAATCTATCGACAGCAAACATATATGCCTATCCATTTGGTCATCATACTATTGGTCACCATACTCAATGGGCACTCGTACATTCAACACACTATGACAGCCGTCGATCAATCAGTCATCAATAAGCGCAAGAGTTTCTTGAATATCAATAAAAGGGTGAAAAAGAATAAAATGATGATAGTAATTTAATAGGTAGGGAAAAGGGAATAAATGAGTAATTAATTTAATGAATGAATGAATGAATGACCTTATTGATGGGTATGACCAGAAATGGTCCACCAGCTCCTTTGCAGATTATTGCAATAAATTTAGAATTACAGGCGCAGAACAATGAATCCCATGTAATTTCGGTGATACGTACATCGGACATGCATTGTTCATGCTTTACAGGTTTGCAGAAGACATGCCGAAATTTACTCTGTCGTACAATATTGCTCATCCTTCTTGTTAATTTACCACTGTTGAATTCTGTCTGATTCGGAATCGAATTTTGGATGAAATTATGATCAACAAAAAAAAGTGCTTCTGCAAAAATTGAAGCACAAAAGCACAAAGTAAAGAGAGCGAGTATGCCAACGACTACTTTCACTGCTGACAGGACTACTACAAATGTTTCGCTTCTCCCATCCCAACTCCACAGATGCTTTCGTCGCTATCGCCGTTGGTTACGCCGACCAACCGATCGACCAGTCAGTAACTTCTATCTTCCAAACGACATCCTCTTTCTTTTCTCTCTTTCTTTATCTCTCTATATCTCTCTTCCCCTTCTTTCACACTAAAATTATCATTACAGCTGGTAAAGAACTATTGAAATTTGTAGTATATTAGAAGTATTACTCTTTCATCTACTACTATTAGTTCAGTAAAGTAACAATTTAGCTTCTTCCTCTTCTTTTTCTCTTTCTTCTCCTTCTTCTTCTTCTTCTTCTTCTTCACTATCACAATAGCGCATTTGTCTTTATTATTAGTTCAGTAAAAATTTAACTTAAATCCAATAAGTTCAAATCTTTCATTTTATTCTTTAATCATCTGCGCTATTATCTTTTCCATAGTAAAGCTGTTGCTTGTTAACTGAATTCATTCATTTAAAGTTTCAATGATATATCAATTTCCTCTTCCTCTTCATCACCACCACCACTACCACCACCATCACCATCACCATCATCACCACCAGCAACAGCAACAGCAACAGCAACAGCAACAGCTCATGACAGCGTTTTCAACCCATTGGTTAAATTATTTTTAAAAAAGAAAAGCATTAAAAAAAAAAGAGAGAGAAGAAACCGATCTATCTATCACTAACAATTAGCAGTGGCTTTTGTTTTTCATTTCAATTATTTTTCTTTAAGCTCAAAAATTGTTTCCAACAAAAGAAAGCGGAAAATTCCGCCTAAATGATGTAAACATTATTTTGTTGATCAAGAAAGAAAGAAAAAAAAAAGATATGCTAAAAGTGATAAGTGATAGTTTATAAAATGTTAAGAGTAATTAGTGTGGGATAATAAAAACCTTACAATTATCCTTCAAGAAATTTTTAAAAGTTAACAAAATAGCAGCTGTTTGTAAAAATTAAACTTCATGTTATTTGATGCCTTTTTTTTCTCCTAACAGTTTTAACAAATCGAATTTTTATCAAATTCATTTTACGATTATGAAAATATGTTAGAAAATTAATTAATTCAACAATTAAGGAAAATTAATGAAATTAAATCAATAAAAAGAAAAAAGATATCATAATAAGATTTTTGTTGAAAATTAATTAAATCAACAATTAATGAAATTAAATTAATAAAAAAAAAGATATCACAATAAGATTGCGAAAGAAAAGAAATGAAATTTTATATATAAGAAAAAGGGAAATTCATTTATGGTTTTATTTATTATATAAATATAAACTTTCTGATAATAATATATTATGCGTTATAAATTAACAAATCAAATTTCATCAAATTCATTTTACGATTATGAAAATATGTTAGAAAATTAATTAAATCAACAATTAAGGAAAATTAATAAAATTAAATCAATAAAAAAAAAAAAGATATCATAATAAGATTTTATAGATAAGAAAAAGGGAAATTCATTTATCGTATTATTTATTATATACATATAAACTTTCTGATAATAATATATTATGCGTTATAATTTATTATGCGCTCCATTTCATCACAATATGAATTTCATTTTACGCTCCATTTTTATTATAAAAGAAGAATTCGTAAAAATGAATTATAAAGAATGAAATTAAAAAAATGAATTATAATATGATATTTCATTAATTATTAATTAATATCTTTCTTTCTCTCTCTCTCTCTCTCTATCAATTTTAGCTAAATTAGAATTACAATTTTGGATCATTAAATCATGATCACATAATTTTAATATCAATTTCATTTTAACGGTTTTCACTTTTAAATACCTTTTAAAACTTTCATTTAACCGTTTAATTTTATCATCTCATATATATATATATATATATATAAACTTTTTAATAATATACAATGCGCAATATTTCATTATGCGCTCAATTTGATCACACAATATGAAAACATAAAACTAAAAATTCATTCAACCAAAAAA